TAATACAGGTGGTTTATAACAAAATAAGAATCCAAAACATTTGAAATAAGAAATGGTTAAAATAATATCTCAAAAATATTTCAATATATTATTCGTAGAAAAAATAATATTCTTTAACTTGTTTTTAAAAACAGAAAAAGAGATAGATGAATCTAAATTAGGCTGTACAATTTTATTCCAGATATAAGGTGCTCGATAATCTATACAAAATTGATTAAACTTTGTTTGACAAAAGGGTTCTTTTAAATAGTTATTATTTCGCAAACTATATTTATTCTTTACTTTAAAGGTAAATAGATCTTTAAAAACATGAAATAAGGGGTTGTTTATAAAACAAAACGTAAAACATAAAATATTGTACAAGTTAAGTTCATAAACATTTAATACATTCATATCTTTAAATAGAGGTTTTGTATTTGAAAAACGATTTAAAAAATATATTATTCGCATTGCATGTTTCTGATGGTGGTAAAGAGTAGTAACTTACTTTTACCTGTACTTCCCCAGGCAATATTTGCATAGTTTATATAGCTATGAATAAATGAGTAGTATAGTTGTTTTAAATTATTTTTATTTAGATAATTTCTGGCCTTATAGAGGATACCAATACTTTTCGCAACTTTTGTTGATATATAATCAATATGAGCATTCCATGTCATATTTTCGTAAAGATAAATACCTAGGAATTTTAAAACGGAATCTTTTTTTATTTCTACTTTGTCAATATAAAGTGTAGGTAAATCATAAGGCGAAAAGCGTTTTTTTGTTGAGGAGTGGAAAAGGATCCACTTTGTTTCCTCAATATTTAAGGTTAATTTATTGCATTTAAATCAGTTAGAAACTTGATTAAGTTCTTTATTCATATCTAAAAAAAGTTTGTTAATGTCTTTGTTTGACAAAAATAAATTGGTATCGTCGGCAAACATGATGCTTATAAGATTCGAGGCCTTATTTAGATCGTTGACGTTTACTAAAAAGAGAAGTGGGCCAAGGATAGAACCCTGTGGAACACCACATTTTATTTCAATTAATGTTTTATTTTGAAGATTAATAGGAAGCAATTTTTCTCCGTGGTAGACGAATTGTTTTCTATTTGACAAGTAGCTTTTATACCATTTGATCATTTAACCAGTTATTCCGTAGAACTCAAGTTTTTTAAGTAAGATATCATGATTGACTGTATCAAAAGCCTTTGATAAATCGACAAAAACACCAAGTGTTTATTGTGATTTAGCGAAAGAATTTGAGACTTCACGTGTAAATTGAATAATGGCTTGTTCAGTTAAACTATTTTTTTTTAAAGCCGAACTGATTTTTATATAGTAAACTATTTGAAACCAGGTAGTTGTATGTTTTTTCGAAGATAATTTTTTCTAATATTTTTGAAAACATATGAAGGATAGAAATAGGGCAATAATTATTTACGTTTGATTTTTCTCCTTTTTTATAAATCGGGATAACTTTAGCAATTTTTAATAGATCAGGGAAAACCCCTTGTTGTATAGATGTTTGGAAAACTTTAAATAGAATATTTTTCAAATTTTCATAGCAATCTATAATAATGTTCCCGTTTATTCCATCGGCACCGGTTGCTTTGTTTTTTTTTAAAGATTTGAAGGCTCTTTCAAACTCTTCAATCAATAAGTCATGGGAAGAAAGTAAATTATTTGAAGTTGTCAAAAAATCATTAAAGGAAATATTTGTAGATGGAATCCTATCAGCCAACCTACTTCCGATATCAGTAAAGTATTTATTAAATTCTTTCGCTATTTCATTTGGTTCATATACACATACATTGTTTATTTTAATCATTTTCGGAAGGAAATTTGAACAGGTTTTCTGTTTTCCCGTTATTTCTTTCAATATTTTCCATTTTTGTTTTGAGTCATATTTTTATTTTTTGATTAAATTAGAGTAATATTTTTTTTTTAAGTTTTTGCGAATCTTTTCAAATAGAGTTTTGTAATTTTTATATATGCGTAAATTAGCATGAGATTTTGTTTTTAAATATTTTATATACAATTTTTGTTTAATTTTTCAAGATTTTTTAAGACCCTTGGTAATCCAGAGACTACTTAAGGTTTTTGGTTTTAAGGTTATTTCGGAAACGGGAAAATTCGCATCGTACACAGAGAAGAATGTATTAAAGAACTTATTATAGATTACATTTATGTCTTCATTAAAATTTATATGCTTCCAGTTTAACAATGATAATTGATATTTAAATGCTTCTAAATTTTTTTTGTTAAAAATACGTTTTCTTATAGTTTGACTTTTATTAAAAAGTCAAACTATAAGAAAACTTTTACTTAATATAAAAAACATGGCATAAAATCTCGATGGTCTAAGATTTTGACCAACTTTAAAAATAACCAATTCAATATGTTAAAATCAGTCAATTTATTCAAGTTTTATATAAAAAGAGAAACTTTAAAGTTAAATGAAAGTTTTGAAAATTAATTTATACAGTATTTTATCAAACTTAATTTCTTATATATTTAAAGGAGTTCAATTTATTGCTTTTATTATATTTATTGTTTTTTACTCGACGTTTATAACGGAGATTTATAAAATCTTTTATAACAATTTTATTTTACTTTACACTTGTTATTAGCCTGCATAAGGGCTCTATAAAAAAATTGTGGTGACTCCAGTCATCCATATCTTCTTTGACTTCCTGTTTGTTTATAAAAAGCGTTTTTTTTATGAATACGTTTCTTTGTATTTTACTTTTTTAATTCTATGAAATATATAAATTAAAAAAACGAAGTAATTAATTTAAAAAACGAAGGTTTTTCATTCAACTAAAAATAAAATAAAAAATACTTTTTATTTAAAAAGAATTTGCTTAATATCTTTACATAAAAGATTTATTCTGAGTTTCTCTAAAAAAACAGTTTTAAAAGGTAGAAGTAACAAATACTTGTATTACAGCAAATTGCTCCACTAAGCGGGTAATGCAAGGGGCGTGGAATTTAAGGGTCTTGAAACCCAATCCATAATTTTTATTTTTCATTCAACATACTGACATGAAATATTGTGACCAATCACTTGAGATCTTTTTTACTCTTATAATATTCTTCTAAGGTGATTATTATTTAAGTCTTTTATTCCCATGCCAAAAAAGGCTTTTTGCGTAACCACAATATCGCGTCGCGCGAGCTAACGCCTATAAATAGGTACAACTAGTAGTTCAAATAAGTTTATATCATCAAGTCTTATATAAGAATTAATGATATAAACTTACTTGAATTACTAGTTGTACCTATTTATAGACGTTAGCTCGTGCGACGCGACGCGCGACGCGGTACCCATATGCTTCGAATTATAACAAGAGTGATGACTTTGTGAGAATTTTTTCAACTTCAATTGCTGACCAAACTTTTATAGTTGTTCCTACATCTTCGTCAATGTCAATAAATGCAGTTTTTTTCTATTAACTCTTTTATAACCATTTCTTACTCTTTTAAGCTGTTTGCTGCCATTTGACAAATATTTAACGTCTCTAAATATTTTACAGTTCTTTCTTCTCATTTTCAAAATTCTTTCTTCTCGTGTTACCTAATTCTCAGTCAGTCTTTCTAATTCTTTCTTAGCTTTGTTTTGGTTTTTATGGGATGATAATATTACTCATTGTTTTATTTTCATTCAAATTATCTTTAACATTCAAACTATCTTTACTTTTCTGTCAAGTCAGTGTTGAGCTGATAACGCAAAGTAGTTAATCAATCAATCTTGAGCTTCTAACATAATTAAGTACAAATCAGAAAAAAAGGAAACGCGATGAAGATTTTCATGGCTTGTCGTTAAGAAAAGCTGCGTGAAATATATATACATTTTAATTAATTTGTTTATTTCATTTAAATTTAAACTAAATCAACTTCGGTTGGGTGTTAGAAGTGGTGGTAAGAGGTTGTGGTTGCTTGATATAATCAAATAGTTAATTAAGTTCTTAGTTCCTGGATATTTCGCACTTTCAAAATAAGTATCAATTAGGTTGTATATTATGTGTTTATATTATATGTAACTTATGTTGTATATTATGTGTTGTATATTATATGTAAGTCTAACTAATCATCAATTATGTTGTATATTATGTGTTGTATATTATATGTAAGTCTAACTAATCATCAATTATGTTGTATATTATGTGTTGTATATTATATGTAAGTCTAACTAATCATCAATTATGTTGTATATTATGTGTTGTATATTATATGTAAGTCTAACTAATCATCAATTATGTTGTATATTATGTGTTGTATATTATATGTAAGTCTAACTAATCATCAATTATGTTGTATATTATGTGTTGTATATTATATGTAAGTCTAACTAATCATCAATTATGTTGTATATTATGTGTTGTATATTATATGTAAGTCTAACTAATCATCAATTATGTTGTATATTATGTGTTGTATATTATATGTAAGTCTAACTAATCATCAATTATGTTGTATATTATGTGTTGTATATTATATGTAAGTCTAACTAATCATCTTGATCGTAACTTGAGTCAGAAATCTTTTAATATTTAAATCAATGTTCAGCTTTTTTTTTTTTTTCTCCTATTTTGTATTTATGGCTTTTACCTTCTTATATATTCATTTCTTCTTCCTTTTTGAGTAAATTATAATTTAGTCTCACTACGCTATAGCTTATGTAATATAGATAAAGTGAAAGAATCAATGCTTGTTTCACTTCTTGCGGTTGATATGGACAGATTTTGTGCTACAATATGATTATTCATATTGATTGTGTTTTTCTTACGGTTTCCGTAAGAAAAACACAATCAAAAACTTTAATTTTGATTAAAATCAAAAACTTTAATTTTGATAATCTGCTACACATAAACCAGAATGATGGTCACTCTTGTTGTGGAACAAAGAGAATATAATGTTAACTATCGTTTTTTGACGCACTTTTGAAGATTTTTGTTATTTATCATTTTTAAAATCTAGTTAATACAAATTAAAAAATAGTAAACAAGTACCTACCCAACAGTTGCAAACGTTACAACACTTAAATACAAACTAGTTCCAAATCCTTTTAAAAACCACTTGCTAAAATCTTTGTTTTTAATGCATTCCTAGAAAAAAGTTTTTTGAATTAATGAACTAGGAACTTATAATAATATAACTTCTTTACGCGCGTACAATTAATAAACCTACAGTAAAAATATTAATTGTACGCAAAAAAAAGTTTGAATATTTTATCTTTGGTATGGATTTTCACAATTGTACAGCACCTTGTCTTCTGTAAAGTCCAACATTTAAGGACTTGTCTCGTTTCATAAGAACTTTTTGAATTTAAGTGTTTTAATTTGATTTAGTTTTTTGTATTTTAAACATATTTGTTGTTTGTTAAAAATTATATTTATAAATTGTTATTATTTTTTTAAGTTTCATAGAAAATTATGATGTACATTAATCAGCTGATTTAAACTTAAATAGGGGTAGACGAGGTGAAATGTGCAAACATCAACCGTTAAAGTCGAGTTAGAATGGTGCCATAGAGAAAGCGGACAGATATTGCATCGGATGTTAGAATGTGCTATTAGTTAGATTACCTAATTGATGTACTAGTATTACCGTAATCATCATTAAAGATGACGTTTGTAAATGCTTACTTAACCTTAAACAAGGATAGGCAACGCGACATGTACTTACATCAACCGACACAAGTGGAAATAGGTGAAGTACATATAGCGACTAACTTTTAATCAAATTAAATTGTTTCGATATTTATTTAAACAAGGTTTAACTAGAGAATCTATAAAAATAAAAGAATAAAAATAAAATAATTTAATTTATATGAAATATTCTAAATAATTAATAACAATTTTTGCTAGCTTTATAATAGCTAAAACAGTTCTAAATACTTTTTTATCTTACTATTTATTTGTTTAAATTATTAAGTCTTCAAATAACTTTCGTTAATTTTATATATATCAAGGTTGCATTTAAAAAAAATGATAGTTTGCACATATTGGTTTAATCAATGACCTTTCTGCACAAATTTTGTTTTCTGCTGAGTTAAAAACATGTTCTGCTGACACACTTGAAGGTGGAAATCTAAGAAGTTATTTTACAATTACAACTCAAAAATGAAAACGTGACCTTATTTTTTGACTCTCAATTCAATAATCAATTTTAATTCAATAATTCAATTTTAAATTTGAGATTTCATTTTTAATTAAATTTACAGAATGCCTCGGACCAATAGTACTTTCATTATCAGAATCTACTTCTTTAAACCTAAAAAGTTTGTTCAGTTATAAGGTTTGATTATCCTAATTTTTTCTAGATTGTGCATTACCTTCAGCAATAATGTTTTTAGTTAAGACAGCGTCCTCTTTAAAACTATTAATTTATTATAAAAGTAACTTGTTATTATCAGAATGCAAGCTTAGTACAATGGAATCTTAATCCATGATATATGAATACATTGCTTTTAAAGCTTAATGCATTTTTCAAAATTTTTCAAAATTGTTTGATTTCCCAAAATATTTAAAGCGTGGACCTGTTAGAGACAAAATATTAACGTTTAAAGCGTGCATCTGTGAGAGACAAAAAACAATAAAGCAATCTAAATACTTTATTTCTTCCATAAATCTTTCTTTTAAATCATTTTTTCACGTCTAAAATTATATTGGATTACTATCTTTTGCTATACAAGCATTAAAAAGTTTATTTAGCATTAGACAAACCCTTGAAACCACAGCAACACAACTCGAACGAATAAACGTCACTTCCTTTGCAACGTGCAATTTTTTATTTTTTTTAGCAGTATCATATGATTAGCATTATCGTTATCATAACATCTCCATGCGTTTTGTACACCTTTAAAAAACATAACACTGAAAAGTAAATGTAGAGCTTTTTTGTTCTAAAACACTCTCTAAAATACCTTGTGTACTGTTCCAACGAGTTGCAACATAATAGAATGTTTTTTGCATACGTATATCATTATTATTTTTTTTAATTTCTTAAAGTACATTAAATTCATAAATAAATAAAGACATAGTGTGGGGTGTTAAACTTAAAAAATTTTGTGAAGTCAAATTCAGAAAGTATGCAAAACACTTGATCATTCATTTACACCTAGCTTATTCACAAGCACCATCCATATTAGATACATTGCCAGTGATGCTTTAGATACTCGCCGTAATTAATGTCATTGTGTTCGTGATGGCAATATGTAAACGGTGAGAGTATGTCACCGTTGAAAAATTGGCTAGCGACTAACAAGCGATAATTGTTACGATTGACAGCGATAAGCTAGCTATTAGCAGACAAAAGTACAAACTACGTTATTACATCACTTATTCATATATACGTTATATATACTATTCTATTATAACTATTATTACATTATATTAACTTAGTCACTATAGTTACTATAGTTTTAGTTACTATAGTCTTTGATGTCTTCGTAAATCAACTTGACATAACTCGCATTTATAAACTTATCGTCAAATTTATATATATACTACTCAAATATTTTTCATTTTTATGCTTATGATTATAATGTTTTTTTAAAGTATACACTGCATTTTTATGCTTATAATGTTTTTTTAAAGTATACACTGTAATATCCAGCGAATACATAACTTTTTGTTATGTAATAGCTTCAAATAATATAATAAATTAACTTATATTTTTCAATCGTTAGCTAAAAAGCTACGGGTATGTACACACACCAATTTTAGATAGAAATATTGACTACCTATAGATTTATATTTATATTTTAAAAAGCTACGATATATAAATATCAATATATTTTTTTAAAATTACTAGCTAAAAATCCAATATGGATGTTCAATTTATATACATATTGCTATAGAAATACTTATATACATATCGCTATAACAATAGATGACTAAAGCTATCGTGCAGCTATAAAATTGTAGTTATGTAGTAGCTAGTGACAAAGCTACAATACGTAGCTTTTATTCTCCCGCCAAAAGGGAAAGGCAGTTCAATGACGACACTCCCGATTTGTCCCAGAGCAAACAAATTGGTTTCAAGTTTTTTTTTGTTTTTTTTTTTTGTTTTTTGCATTTCGGCAATTATCAGCTATGATGTTACAATAGTTCTATAGAATAGCTATGATGTTACAATAGTTTTATAGAACAGCTATGATGTTACAATAGTTCTAAGACCTAAAAAAGAAAAAAGGAGCTGACATTGGTTGATATTAAACGTGTTGAAAGAGACAGAGTTTGACATTAAAAAAAATTGTTATGATCAAGGCTACAACAATGGCGCTAATATGGCAGGTATCTACGATGGAGTTCAAGCTTTGACTAAACAGAAAAATCCACAAGCAATTTTCATTCCTTGCTCTGCTGTGGACTTATGTTTCAACACGCTATTGGATCATTGCTCCAGGGAAATATTTCCTTAAGATTTAAGCTAGTTAAACTATACAATTTGTTTAGTTGCAGCCCAGTGTGTTGGAAAATCATGCAGAAAGAAACAGGGTAAACATTATATCAACTTTCTCTTACGCGATGGAGCTCAAGTATTGATGAAACAATTATCAAAAAAATCTAGAGAGATCTTAAAAGCATTACATGAAAGAGTTAGACCTTCTAGGTGAAATTATCTATTAAAGTGGTAGAATTCCTTATTATATAATTAAGTGGAAGAATTCCTTTAAGCTTATTGTTTTCACTACTTTTTGGTTTAATTGTTTGATAGGAGTAAACGACGTGAAACTTCTTCTTTAATCTCCTCAACTGACTCTCGGCGATGAAATGAACGTTCTAAATTGGCTTTTGACAATTCTAGATCAAATCCGATCGAATTTTAATAGAAGCTACAGAATATGTAAAGAACTTGCAGTTCGATAAAATTATGCTTATTGAGAAAAGAATGTGAAAAAATAAAATACTCCTTGGTGAAACTGCTAGCTGCACTACAAAAAAGAATCTAAAAAGCTTTAAATGCATTGAGTATTGCACTGATTAATCTCACTAATTAAATTAGAACAAAATTTAAAGTAATTTAAGAAGAATTTAACAAGTTTTCCTTCTTTGGTCTTCACAAAAATCTGTAACATTCAAATAGCTACTTTCAAAAGTTGAGAATCTTGCTAAACTCTACCCAGTAGGCTTGAACAAAATTAACTTTTTGAGAATTTTTTTTTTTTTTTCCTGTCAGAAGAAACAATCTAGGCAGAAAAAAACAGTAAACCTTTTAAATTAAATTTATGCGAATGAATTGCATTTAATGTTTTCTTAACTGTGTGTTTCACTTAGCATATTTTCGATTATTTCAATTTTCATTTCAACCAATCAAAATATATTTCAGTAATCTTTTTATTGTTAATCTTCGTTCAACAATAAACTAGAAATGACAATCTTCGTTCAACAATAAACCAGAAATGAAAATCTTCGTTCAACAAAAAACCAGAAACAATTTTGTGTTACTTGATGATCTTTAACATTGAATCAGATTTAGTAACATGTCTTGTGGAGAGGTTATTTTAAATTTTTCACTTTAGAAGGCTTAGAAAATGGCATTACTCCAGTAATTTCAATGTTATTTTAGATTTTCAATGAACAAAAATTAAACAAACAAATTTGCTAGTTATTATTTTAAGATACGCAGTATGAGGAGCTTTTATGATACCCGGCTTTTTGACCCGGGTATCATAAAAGTTATTGGCGGATCTATATATATATGTATATATATATATATATATATATATATATATATATATATATATATATATATATATATATATATATATATATATATATATATATATATATATATATATATATATATATATATCTATATATATATATATATATATATATATATATATATATATATATATATATATATATATATATATATATATATATATATATATATATATATATATATATATATATATGTATATATATATATACACACACATATATACACACATTTTTAATTTAAGTTAGTGTATTCTACAAATAGAGTGCGCAATGTTTTTAAAGATATTATTAGATAGTATATTCTTCAAGTGCTCAATGTTTTTAATTTTTTAACTGTTATGAATTATTATTCCATGTTGAATATAGCTTAAAACCAGCTTGGTTAATTACAGCTAAAATTTTATTGATTTCTATTTATTATCATTCCTATTATTATGACCTTTTTTATTATCATGCCCAACGATATGGGTTTTGATATGGAAGTAGGGGGGAGGGTGGTTACAATCTTTAATTTATAAAAAAAAGTCCTTTATATTATGTAATTTCAAAGAAAAAAGGTCATTTAGAAAGAAAGCTTGTGGTGTATGGTTTATAATCTTTTTTTTTTTCAATTGCAATGTCGTTTATATGGCCCAGATGAACGACATAGCAAGTAAAAAAAAAAAAGATTTTTAAAATTTTTAGATTACTACTAACTTTGTATAAGGTAAACAAAACACTTACAGTTAACCACAAAATTGTTGAGAAAATCAAAATAAATGCGAAAGCGTATAATATAATTGGAAATGTTAACAACATGGCTTCAAACACTTTATGAGCTATATATAATTTTTTTTTATGAACAATAACCGCAACCTTCGAACCGATGAACTTATTTTCCACTAAGTTTTTGCTAGCCAACATTTTAGAAGGAAAAAAAATAGGAAAAAAAATTGTTTTGTTTCCGGTTACATTTTGAAGTTCCCCAAATCCATAACTTGTATTTTCTAAAACCTTATAAACATTATCTTGAGTAAACGTTTGATTTATTAAATGAAACGTGACAAAATCATCCGAAGGGCTGCATAACTTTTTCAATCTTGAGTACATAAACGGCAAAATGCCATCCAAATTATTATTTTTATCAAAGTAAATAAATGGTTTAACCTGCCAAAACACAACTTCATCTGGTGTTCTTGTTTCGAAAAGAGCTAGAAACAGGAACAATAAAGGTGTTACTAACATTGTTTATAATTTATAAGGTGATTCTCCTTACGTAAGGTTTTTTGTTGTTTGTTTAAAAAACTTATTAAACTTGTTCTATCCTATCTGCTTCCATACTCTATCGAATTTGCGTTCATCTTGTTTAAAATTTATCTCAGTCTAACATTAAATTAATTTTTAAATTATCTATATATTTTTCAATACATTTTACCGCTAAAGCATTTAAAAAACAATTTGAACTGGTGTAAAATTAATACTATAGTAATATGTAAACATATTTTTGAGTGATGTATAATAAAAGATAAAAAATTTATTAAACCTTTCAAATTTTTAATAAAAAAATAAAAAGAGAAAAAAAAGAAATTAAACAATTCAAAAGCAAATAATTAAATAACGAAGCATTTGGTAAAAAATATCTAAATAAAGAGTTGAAAAATATCTAAATGAAGGGTTAAAAATTTCCGAAGTTTTCAAAAAAAAATTTCATTGCAATAAACTTATTTTTGAAACAAAGAAATGAATTTTATAAAATTGACGTATATTAATTTTGTGAAACAACAAAAAGTAGATGTTTTCCAAGTTATCTTGTCTTTTGAGCTTGTACATTACATATTTCTAGCTTGTTGCAACTAAGATGTAAAGTATTCACAAAATACAAAAAAAAAATCTTTTTTAGATTAACAAGTGTTAATGTGTATTATTTTTGTAGAGTGCTTTAAAGAAACAAAGATTTTTATGTGTAAAAACTGCATATAAAAATTTATAAAGTATTGGAAGATTTTTAAGTATAAAGATTGCATTTAAAACATCTTTATGAAAAGGTACATGTTATAAATGCACTTGCTGTGTTAGATTATAATAATTTATCTAAAAATGACATTAGAAAACACATTTGATCTGAGTAATGAGTAAAATATTAATACATTATTTTGTTTGGTATGATACTTATAAAACACACACATACACACACACACACACACAAGTAACCCACTTGGCAGTATTGGCAGTATTATATACACTTTTAAAGACCATAAAACCATTTTAAAGAATAGCGTAACTTTTGATTTAATGATTTATAAAGTCAAAAGTGCTCTCGCAAGATTGTGTTGAGTGAGACACTAGTCGTAAAAGCATTAAAACAAAGCGACGGAATTTATGACCTTAAAATCATAAGTTCTTTATTTTTATTGCTACTATATTTTTATATAGTTTAAATTTAGCAAAAATATTTTTTTACTTCTTGTTTTACATTAATTAATAACATTTTTAAATTAGGGCTGTACCGAATTTAATTTTTCCAATCCGGCCGGAGCCGGATTTGCCGGATTTCGAAGCAAAACTATACGAGCCAAAATCCTGTACATCCCTACTTCGTGCTGAAAATGGTCAATAATATTGACTATTCAGAATACCAAGTGACAGCTGTTTTCTGTTAAACTTCATTTTTATTGTTAAAAAGTTTTATATCAATTTCTATAGAAATAATTAGACATTTTATATAAATTCTTTAGAGTTTCTATAGCCCATATGTTTCAAAAAGTTAGAGAAATTCTATAGAACTTTTTTTTCCGGGATGTTGTCACTCCGTCACTGTAGTAAATTAGCGTGTCTATGTATTTCTGATTCTTCCAGATATTAGCTTAGCTGAGTGTCAATGCCTTTTGGTAATTGTTGTTCATGTGCTGTGTCACAAACGGGCGTAGATTGAATAATTTCATCTATATATATTGCCATTGTAATGATGATAATGTATAAGAATTATCCAGCCGGCCTTGTTTTGCTGGATTTTCTTTAGTTTTGTCAATCTGCTGCTTAGCATGCTCAGATTGACTTCATTCTTGCTTTTTCACCTGTCAGTGTTGCCTGTAATGAGAAGAGATTAGTTTGAAATGGATCAACCAGTGTCACCACTATATAAAAAGGTTTCTCGTCAATGTCTTTAAAACGCTCATCCAAACGTGTCTTCCCTTCAGAATTTTTTGTTGCGTTGTTGTTTGAAATTAGGCTTAGCTAATTAAATTGTAATGAAATGTAAATACAGATATAAAAACAAACATGAAGTTCATAGACTATAGAATTACAAAAAGAAAATTAATTTGTAAAAAAAAAAAATTAAGTATACATGTTACCACGGCACTGTGGGAACATTCCATTGAAATAGGTGGCCAAAAATATAATCGTTGTATTTATGTGGATATTAAGCCTTTTAAGATATTTTTTTATATTTAATACTTTTGTTTAAATAATGGATAATTTTTCAATGTACAAAATGTTCATATTTGCTTCAAAATATATTAAATTTATATTTAAATTTATCATCGCTATAAACTGCTAACAAACTTTTAACTTTTTCCGGTAGACACAATATTTTCTTACTTTTCAATCTTTTAGTTAATGAGATTGAACTAATTAGGGGATCGGAAGTATGTATACCTAGAATGAAAATGTCAAGTAAGTTTGTTTCTCTACTTTTTTTTCTTGCAATGATGTTCACAATTAAATTTATAAAATCTCTGTCGAGATTTAACTGCTTCCTCTCCCATTATATCAAGTGGAACTGGTAAATTAATAATAAATTATTATTAATTAACTGGTTAATTAATAATAATTTCCCTAGCATAAGTTTATACTTTTTGAATGGAAGCTGGAAACTTAAACCAATCATATATTTTAATAACTTCTTATATGTATCATTGCAGTATTTATCAATTTTTTCTGAATCATTTGGGTCTTTGCAATTATTTGCAATTAGAATGTTATGTAATCTGATAATTTCTTCATCCATTTCTAAAATATTGCTGAGTAATAGAGGATCAGAAAAAGCTCATGTAAATTTCCGGTATTACACGTCTGATCCACCAGCTTTTGGTTCATCAACTCTCAAACCAAATTCTTCAAACATCCTATTATGTATAATTTTTTCTCTCATAAAATATTGATTTTTTGAAAACCTTTTCTACTTTCCAAGTATTTTTCAAGTCTATATGAAATATAAATAAATTCAAAAAACCTAATACAACCATGTAGTGGTCAAATGCCATAGCACAATGCCTGCCTATTTGTAACAAACCTTATTTTAGATCGCTCATCATGTTAGGTGTGGCGTGACAAATCGGACAACATTGTGTCGAAGAACTCTCCGTGATGTAACTAAGATTTTTCCATCAATTGAAAGGATAAAACTATAGTTGATAAAAACATACTTATGCCCTGAAAGGTAAACTTTATCAGGATATAAATTAAGAGTTTCATTTTCAATTTCTTCCTTAATTTTTAATACCACTTCTTTATTCTCATTCTCATCTCATACTCCAGTATTATTGGTCTACAGAATCTAATACCTTGAGACATTATGTTATTCCATAAAAGATTGTTTAAATCTGATTGTACATGTAATCGAAGAGGTGATGTTACTGTGACTAATAGATCCAAATCTTAAAGGTTATTTTGATTGGAATTAATAAAACGTTAATAGTATTTTTAGTGACTTGATGTTTCATCCATACCCTGACAATTAATTAGTATTAATTCATCAAAGTCTTTCTTTTTATCATCAAAACTTAAAATTTTCTTCTCCCGTAGTGTCACGAGCCTTTTGGATGTATGATCCATAAGATCCTGTAGTTTAACTTTTGCCTTTATTTCACTTTAATTGATGTTTTAAGGCGTGAGCACTCGTTTTTTATTTCAAAAGTCACTCGATAAGATGGAAACCTGCATGGTGCTACTTTATGGGTATTTTCAGAAACACTTCCTGAAGGTTTGTTAAGCAAGAAATTTACAAAAGCTTCTTCAGACGTTGTTTTCTCTCGCTATTGTATTTATTTTGTATTCTCTGACTTATATTCTATTTAAACCCACTATTGACATTTTCAAAAGTATTTACCGAAAGCTGAGTATTAATTCATCAAAGTCTTTCTTTTTATCATCAAAACTTAAAATTTTCTTCTCCCGTAGTTGCACAATTTGTATTAAATTGATTTCCTTTATTATCTTAGTTCACAACAATAAACTTACAAAGTAAAAAAAACTTTTTAACATCATTTAGAAATTCATGTGGCTTTGGTCGATTAGTGGGACATTAAAAATGCACTTTAGAATTATTTTTTCCTAAATTAGTTATGCATCTTAAAACCATAAACTCATGAAGTTAAAATAAAAAAATTTTTATTTTAACTTACTATAGCAATAAACGCCAATAAAAAATTGTTTTATCCAATTATTTGCTTAGCAAATAATTGGATAAAACAATTTTCAAAAACTGTTAATGGTTCAAATTTACTTAACTGGTAAATACGCAGTTTTTAAAATATAGCTCTTTTAAATTTTTAATTGTCAATCTTAATGTGTGTTTCGATTCCTTTAGGCCATTTTTTTCTAGTTGATTTATTGTTTGTGTATTTTACAAAAGACCATAAATAAAGAAATAAATTGTAAAAACCATTAAAAATTGTGTTCAATAAATTACACATCAACAATGTTTTTGTACTCCATAAAAAAATGTGAGAGTGCCAAACTTAATTCAAGTGGGAATCGTGGGCGTATTGAAAGTTTACAAAAAAAAAGTACAAAAGCAAATCTATGTATAAAAGGAGCCAAGTTGCTAGCAGAAGGAAATATTGTTGCGCAGAATTCTCTTAATTTTGTTAGAAAAATTGTTTTATCATCATCAAGATTTTTAATATTATTAAAGATCATCAAATATAACATCAAATATATAGTTACGCTTGCAAGAAGTACTCATTATACATTTTATTATTTAAAATGTTTTCTTTTTTGGCAAATTTAAAAATTTAACAAAAAAAAGAATGAAGTAATTTGACGCTAATAATAAAATATGATCTGGCCAATGAACAACACTGAACATCAGAGCTAGAATGCCCAGTAGAAAAAAAACCAGCAGCTTTAATCCCTTTTGTAACAGTAATAATTATATATATATATACATATATATATATATATATATATATATATATATATATATATATATATATATATATATATATATATATATATATATATATATATATATATATATATATATATAGTATATATATATATATATATATATATATATATATATATATATATATATATATATATATATATATATATATATATATGATATATATATATATATATATATATATATATATATATATATATATATATATATATATATATATATATATATATATATATATATATATATATATATATATTAAAAATAAAACTTGTTAAAAACTTGTACTGACAAATAATTTGTTAGTACAAGTTTTTAATTCAAATTATAATAAAGGAATTCCGCTTTATTCTTTCAAATAGTTTAACGTTTGGTTATGCATTCATTATCATTATTTTGCATACATGTCTATCTTTTCACAAGCTTGTATTTCTTGATGACTTTTTTTTCCGATTAAGGTATGTATTTTCTTTACATTAATCTTTAATGGTGTACTATTTGCTATTTGCAGTGCCGCCGAGAAAGAGGGGGGGAATGTCGCGAGGGTTAGTTTGTCCCGGGCGGCAGATATCCAAGGGGTGCCAAATAAAATGTAGGTACCTGAAAAAAAAAATGTCTTTCATATATAATATAAGAAAAATTTGATAAAAAAGGGCGCCAATCAGGATTGCTGTGCCAGGCGTCGTGACGGCTCTCGGCGGCTCTGGTTGAAGATTCTTTGAATTTCGTTCCAGGAAGGTAAATCGTCAAGTACAGCCTGCCAATACCTAAAAACAAAATTAAAAAGTTGCTACTCTCCTATTAATTCATAATACATGTACAATTTACATTCAGTTTGTAAATTCTATCTACACACACTGTATTTTGCATAGCTTGTTGAACAGCCTAGCTTTAGATATGTTGTGGATTAAATAGCTAACCTTAACTTAATCTTAAACCAATACAATAATTTTAACTAAAATCATAGAACTACATCCAATATACATGCAACTATATACATCTAAACCTTAATTTATTAAGGTGTATTATTAAGGTATTATTATTGAGGTGTCATCTTATTGATATTTTTGTAACAGGTAATATTTGTACAAACTAATAGAAATAAATTATTTTCATATTTTGAATATGTTATCTTTTTTATGAAGGTTATATGAAAATATTTTGATATGATATAAATAAAATTCAAGTCTAAAAAAATTATTAATTAATTTGAAAATATAGTTTCTGAAATCGAAATATAATCAAAATGCAGAAAAATTTTCAGAAATAAAATGAAATCAAAGAAGTTGTTGCTTGTATATTCTTTTTGATATTTACCAGCACAAATTTTTTTAATAAAAAGCCATAAAACTGAGCAGCTTTGCGTGTCATTACATCTGTCAAATAGGTGAAATATAGCAAATACTTACTATTCTATATTTTAACTATATTTGCAAATAAGCCATAAACATTGGTTACTTAACTGCATATTTTAGTGTAGACTGAATTAAACGTAAAAATATCCCAGTCTACACGACATTTAGTTTTAATAAGGCGCGAGCAACTCGCGCTGAAAGATTTTTGGCCAAAAAATCTTTCAGTAAATAACGTCTTATCGGAGAAAATAGTAACTTGTTATTTTTTAACTTTCGTGTCAAAGATATTTTTCTTGTATCAATTTTTAAAAAAGGAATCTGTATTCCTTAAATTAGATTTATATTAGTGCTATAAATTTACTTATTATATACCTGGGGTGTAACATAAAAACAAAATAATTTAATGACTTAGTGGCGGTCGTGGTATAATGCGAAAGCGCGGAGTGCCGAAATACGGAAATATTTGATCGGTAAATGGTTGGAAAAAATGTGTTAAGGCTTTCTTGAGACCCTAAACAATATTGCTTATGTATTTTTTTAATGACTAAGTAATAAAAAAAAGAATATGTTTTAATACTGTTTTCATCGCGAAACGTTTTAAACTGATGGGTTAAAAAAGCTTCGATAATTTATTCACAACTTAAAATGAACCAAACTGACTCTCATGTGCAGTATACGGAGTTGCAAACATCCATTATCAAATCACTGTAACAAGCAATGTTATTTCTTAAACACTTAGTTCTTTATTCCTTTTATTCATTTTGTTTTAGAAAGTTAGGGTTTCAAGTTTTATAAGTGATTTTATCTTTTACCTCCAAAAGTAAATCCAGGCCCCAACCTCGGGTAGTAATTATTTTTAACTATATTTCTGTGAAATCAAATGCTTAAACAAAAAAATATATTTATTATGTTTTATAAAACTTTGTCAAACTTTAAAAAGTAAATAATATATAGTGATTTCAATGAATGGAGATTTCAATGTATGGAACAAACAGTGTGAAAAAACAACAATGTATGGAGAATTTAATTTAGCAAAAGTAAATGCTTTTTAAAATTTAATGAGTTTAATTTGGCGCCTAAAATTTTATAGTAGCAGTTTTGTAAGTTTATTAATATTTATACATTTAACAGTACTATATTGTAAGAATTTTATTTATCAGCACTAAAAAATCGAAATGTCTTCTTTCGTTTCGAAAAAAAGCGATAAAAATATGCGCGAATCTAAATTTCACGTTTAAAGTACGGTATCAAAACAAAAACAAAAATTGGGTACGGTATGGGATGGTAGAGAATTAAAAAGCTCATTAAAAGTAATTTTAAAAGCTTGAAATTAAAAAACAACAAGTTTAGATTGCAAAATTCAAGTTTTATGAATTAATATTTTACAGTTGTTGTTGTTAAGCATACTATATTTTTATTGCACAAATTTTTTTAATGATTTTTTTGAATTAGGAATTTTTTTAAATAATTAAATTATTAAATGATAACTTTTTTTAATAATTAAATTATTAAACAATAAGTTTATTACATATCAATAATTATGTTAATATGTAGTACAATACTATTATATTATCATAGTTATTAAATGATATAATATGTAAACAAATATATAAACAAAAAATAAATTAAATTTTCTTATTTGCAGATGAGATATACTTATTATAAGAATCAACAATATGACCGTATCAAAAGCCAATGCCTAATAAACAAAAAGTTGTTTGAAGACCCTGAATTTCCTCCATCTGATGAATCATTATTCTTTTCTAAACCATCATTTTCTGCAGTATGGAAAAGACCTGGAGTAAGTTTTTAAGTTTATGGGTTTTGGTGTTTTGAAGCTGTTATTAGATTTAGAAATTTTAATTTTAAAAATAAAAACTTAGCGCTTAAATTTAGGAATAAAAGTTAAAGAAAAAATAAAACTGTTTACATATTAATTTATAATTTTAACATATAGTTGTACATTTTTAAACTGTCATAATGCATTTTTTTTTAAACAACAGTAGATAAAACATTTTAAAAGTATTTTTAAAGTATTTAATTTTTTCTTTTTGATATATTATCAGTTCATAGTACTGTATATCTTGATTTCATTCAAATTAAAGTTAATCAGTTAGTGGTTTAAATTATTTGGTCTGTTTAGAAATTGTCTTTTCACGCCTAGAAAAAGTTTCTGCTATAACCTTAGTTTTTAATTTAAGTAGGCAAAACATCTGTATGAATTTGGAAGCATTGATTTTAGCACATCAAGCCTTCACAGGAGATAAGTGCTATTTTTTGTCTTGAATATCCACGCATGAGTATTTTATTTTTGACAACTTGGTCACAATCGTTTTCAAGACTAGGCATTGCAGAAAAAAAAATATTATCAGACTTAAACTTTTGGTTTTTCAATTCAAAATGCAGTTTTGAATTGAAAAACCAAAGCAAAAGTGCTCATTAGAACAGCAGTCATCCAAATTACATTTTTTTGTTATCATCTTTTTGGAAGATATAGTTAGATAGATAAAGTTTAAAAGTTGTTATGTCATCTAAAATTATCTGCAACTCAGTCTTTTTATTGCAACATGAATTATTCTAACATGAGATTACATTAATTAATGTAATAACAAGAGTTATTACATTAATTCAGCATTCATTTCAGTGATAGTGTAGGTCCACAATATAAAAATTATAAAAACATATCTAACATCTGTCAACATGAACAAGATAATAAGGTATCTGTAGATTTGTATCTTTTTGTTACATCATAATGAAAAATGATGTAATGGTGTTAAAATGTGTGAGGCAATTTGTAGCAAGGGCAAATTTATAATCACTAGTTCCTATTATTTCACCGGAAAAAATTTATGATTGGTGTAGAAAAAATATATAAAGACTACATTTTCTATACGTTTTTGAGAAAATGTATGATTGGTCTAGGCAAAATATTAAAGGGCATTTTCTATGTAGTTATATTAAATTGCATAAATTTTAGATAAGAAGATACTTATGCTACTTGTTCAACAATTCTCAAGACAATAAACCATTTTATTTCACAATTTCTAGTACTTTACAAATAAAAACGTTCATTCATTCAACAATTTGACCCACTTAATACTACTTTCACCAGAAGTTTATGTAACATGTGTTTATGATGTAAAATAGTTTTTGGACAGATAGTGGAAATATTTTAAAAAAATCAAGATATTATTTTACAAAAAAAAAACTGGATTCCAATAAAATAACTTTTATGTAACATTTCATCTTTAAAAGTTCAATCAGCAACAGGTAGAAACTATGAACTATCAGAAACAGTTAAAATAATGTATTGGTACAATAGCATATGTAATAACATAATTATATAACAACATACCTTAATTAATATGAATATAGCATTTTCAAAAAAAAAATGTTTATAAATTTGATTTATTTATTTTGAATTTTTTGTTTTGAATTTTATTCTTGTTTTTATACTTGTTTAGCATGTGTTTAGCAGTATCAATAATAAGGGCAAGTCTGTAATTCCACTTCTTTTGTACGGTTCAGACTTTGTCACCTCATCTAAAGACAAAGCTGAATTGTTTGCCAAGAACTTTTCATCAATATCATCTCTGGATTCCACTAGTTGCATTCTACCTGATATAGCCGTCAAACAGGTTGATCCACTGCTCGACATCCGTATCACTCCAGCCTCTGTATCTAAAGTGATTTCCTGCTTAGACTCTTCTACAGCTTGCGGCTCGGACAACATTCTTGTTATAGTCTTGCAGAAGTGTTCTCCGGAGCTGTCGTCTATTCTTTCAAAACTATTTAACAAGTGCTTATCAGAGTCTTGTTTTCCAGCCTGCTGGAAAGCAGCATCTGTTATCCCTATTTTTAAAAGTTCTCGAGAGCGATCTGATTCGTCTAATTACTGTCGAATTAGTCTTCTTCCTATCATAAGCAAGGTTTTTGAATCTTTAATTAACAAACACTTAATCTCTCATCTCGAATCTCATAACCTACTTTCTGATCATAATATGAATTTCCATCTTCTCATTCTACGGCTGATTTGCTAACAGTAATAACCGATAGGTTTTATTGCGCATTAGATAAAGGTGGAGAGGTTAAGGCCATCGCTCTTGACATTTCTAAGGCGTTTGATAAAGTTTAGCATGCTGGTCTTCTCCATAAGCTTTCTTCTTACGGTGTATCTGGAAACATCTTTAAAATTATCAAATCCTTCCTTTCCAATCATAGTATAAAAGTTGTCCTCGATGGACAGCACTCTTTTTATTCTGTAACCTCTGGGGTTCCTCAAGGTTCAATCCTTGGCCCTATACTCTTTTTAATTTACATTAACGATCTTCCAGATTTTCTCACATCTAAGGTGGCATTGTTCGGTGATGATACTACCATTTATTCTTGTCACGATAAGAAGCCAACTCCCTCTGATTGCTTGCAGGGGGCATCTGAGCTTGAAAAGGATCTCACTTCTGCTACAGCATGGGGCTCACAGTGGCTGGTGAACTTTAATTCAGATAAAACTCAATTTTTTTCAGCCAATCGTTATCGCAATAATTTAGACCTTCCTATATTTATGAGCGGTAATGTACTTGATGAGTCTCCTACCCTTCATCTTCTAGGATTAACTCTTACTTCTGATCTTTCTTGGAAACCTTATATCAAATCCGTTGCAAAATTAGCATCTGCTAAAGTCGCTTCTCTTTATCGAGCTTGTCACTTTCTTACTCTGGATTCTATTCTCTATCTCTATAAATTTCAAATCCGGCCTTGTATGGAATACTGTTGCCATATCTGGGGTAGATCTTTTAATGATGCCCTTTCTCTTTTAGACAAGGTGCAAAAACGCATTGTAAACATAGTTGGACCTGCTCTAGCAGCCAACCTTCAACCTCTGTCACATTGTCGTAATGTTGCTTCTCATTCTCTTTTCTACAAATACTATAATGGGCACTGAAAAAATTTGTGAAGAAAAAAATAATAGTGTGAAAAAAAAATTAATTAGTAAAAACAGTGTTGATCTTAGGTTTAAGGTGAAGGGAAGTTTTAGCTGGAGCCATTTTTAATTTCTTACTGAGTTGTATCTTATCAGCAAATTTCAAATAATTAGCCTACATAATGTAAAAACTAAAAAAATTCATCTTGGCACTTCTTAAATTCCCAAGTTTGTGTATACCATCAGAAGTCCAATACAAAGGCATCAAAAATTTACTTTTTAAATTTGTAAATGAATATTTAGGTTTATTAGGTTGCCTTTATGAGTAAAATATAAAATTATAAAGTTAAATATTATTTTTTTACAAAAGAAAGTCTTAGAAATTAGAAATTTAGCTTAAAATGCCTTTTTTTGAGAAATGCCTGCAATTATTGATTTTGTAATGGTACTTTCTTATGAATAATTTTGTGATGAACCTAGGCATGTTTTAGTACCGTTTTACCAGTATGGGCGTGAAAAAAGTGCTCAAAAATTTTTTCGATTTTTAATTTTTCTTTTGATTTTTTATGAAAAATAAAAAAAAAAATTAGTTTTAAATGCAGTAGTATATAAATAATTCTCAGTTTACGTTAGCTACCTCTTTTTTTTTTTCAGGAATTTGCATTTAGTTACTAACTGAACATAACTTTAAAAAATGAAATTCGTTACAAAACTTAATTTTAAAACCACGTTGTAAAATTTTATAATAATGGAATGTATAAAAGCTTTTATATATTCCATTCCAAAAGCTTTTACATTCCAGCAAATCTTTAAAGATTTGCTTTTTTGAAAGTTGAAGCACTTTTAAATATCTATTCAGCATAAGCTTCATTGTTATTTTGGCAATTAAGAGTAAACTGCTTTTGATAATAAATGAACAAAAGTAAAAAATATCAGTAAAAAATATCCTTGTAACTATCGCGCAAGTTTAATTTTTAAATAAATGAACATTTGATCTTTAGCTTGCTATTTTAGTTTACGTGAGGAAAACGAAAAAATGATGTATAAACTTTTTCAGACAGTTTTCTTTCCTTTCAATATTCTTTTTAAAATAATAAAAAAAAAGGTTTCAATAACTTAATAAAAGTTTTATTTAGATTTGTTTAAAATAACCCATAGTAAATGTAATTTATTTATTCAAATGTAATTTTTTAAATTATTCTTAATTAAAAATATATATTTTTTAAATATATGTTTTTAAAAATATAATATAGTTTTTAATCAAAATAATAGAATATTTTTTAAATTATGTTTATTGTAATTATCTCTTTAATTATCTTTAATTTAAAAGGTGTCTTAAAGTCACTTTAAAAAGTATAACCTTTAGTAAAAGTTAAATGAACAAATTTACTAATATTTAAATAAAAAGTTTTAATTTAAAACAATAGAAAATAAATTTATTAAATGCTTATGTTTTTATTTGAATAGTTTGTTAAATACGTTTATTAAATGCTTACCAAATTTGTTTATTAAATGCTTATGTTTTTTATTCAAATACAAGACGTAAAGCTATTTTGTTAATTTTACAATATGATTTATGTAAATATATTATGTAGGCTTTTTTTTTTTTTTTGATTTTAATTCACCTCGGAGAAGGCCGAGAAGGCCACTACAGACGAGGAGGCTACTTATTTGTGGCTATAACCCTCTCTCAACTCTATAACTCCAAAATACGAACCTTGATGAACAAGGCCGCTGCGCAGAGAAACGAGTTGAGTGCGGTACTACCAGGGACATGGTGAGGCTTGTTTGGGAAGCGGGAACGGTCGCTCTCGATTGCTGACCATGGATATAATATTTAGTTGAGAAAAGCTAGCCAGATTTTTTAGTCGTTTTGTGAACATTTCAAAAAGCAAAAGAAAATTGCGCTAAAGATTAATTGGACTGATGATAAACATTTAGACAAAAAAAAAAAAAAATTTGGAAAAAAAAAAAAAAAATTAGGAAAAAAAAAAATCTTTTAACGCAATAAAACTTAAAGCAAAATAAATTACGTTTAGAACAAATATTTTTGAAACATCGCTCTTTCATAATTATTTTATAAAATTAAGCGGCGTTTTTTATAATAAGTAACATCTTACGATTGTTTAAAAAGGAAGCAAATGTTCTTTATTTAAAAAAGTTTTAGTTTTATTTAATCTAAATTATTTTATAAATAAAAAAGTTAATTTTTTTATTACCTTTTTTAAGTTTCACATAGTTTGAAAAGCTTAACATATTTGAAGCAATTCTTCTTAGTAAGATAAACAAAAGAAATAATTAAATCATTGAATTACCAAAAAAATTAAATTACCTAGATAGAAATCAACTAAAAAGGTTAAAAATACTATATGACGAGGAAGCGAAACTGCTTCACAATATCGCTGATGATGTTCAGTGAGTTGGCTTTTTAATTTTAATTAGTATTTGAAACAGAAAAAAGTATAACGAGTTTTTAAGAATAGCAACTGAAGCAAAAATAATTAGAGTTAGTAAACCAATATCTAGAAACTTTACTTTATATCTAATAATTTGCTATATATATTTGTGTTCTGTCGTATTTTATGTTAGAAATCTTAAAACATAACAAATCGTGAATAATACAAATTCTAAAACATTTCAATAGAATATTCATAGAACATATAATAGAAAACTTTATTTTGCTTAATCACCGTATTTTTTGAACCAATAGAATTAGTTTGTTCGTTAATTTGGCAGGTTTTTAGTGTTCGTGAATATTCTTTTTATTCTTCTGCACCAAGATGTTTTGAGAACATCTAAGTTTTTAATGTTTCCATGTATGTCCGTAAAGCAAAAATTTTTTGTCTGAAAACGGCTAAAAAACCTGGCCAGTTTTTCGAGGGTAAATCTAATTTCCGTGGTCAGTATTCGAGAGCGATCGCTCCCGCTTCCGGACTAAGCCTGATTATGTAATGTAAATATTGATCAAAAATTGTTTAAAATTTTTTTAACTATTATTTTAAATTAAATTTACTAAAAATACTTAATAACTGTTAAAAATACTTTAAACAACTTTCAATAATTATTTACTGATAGCGTGGTATATGCAACAAAAGCGTTTATTAAAATCTTAACTAAAATAGTTTTCTTTCAGCTAAAATAACATCGCCCACCGGTAAATTCATGTATTAAAAAAATGTCTTTAAATCAACACCTTTTTAGAGGATAAAACTGAACAAAATAAACAAATGATTATTTAGAAAATGATGATTAAAAATTATTGTTGCGGCACCCGTTTAACTAGGGGATATTGAGGGGGAGGAGAAATCAAAAACATAACTCCCCACCCTTCAACGTTGTTGGAAAAAAAACGGAATCCCCAAATAAACTCTGGGTTCTTCACTGATAATTAATTATGAATAGTTCAAATGAGAAAAAAAAAAGCTAAAATTAGTACCGAAACTATTTTTGAAGGTGCTAAATTCAAATATGAAAAAAAAACTAAATTCGAATTTTTAGATGGTCGTTTTTTTATTTTAAAATGTTTTATGTTCGAAGTTATATTGATACCAGTAAATCCAATATAACCTTAAAAAAATATGAATTTGTTATTTTAAGGGCAATTTCTCAGAAATTTTTTTTTATTAGTAATTAAATCAGAAAATATGAATGACCCCAGTTACAACTTGTCGTTGTAATAAAATTTTTTAAATGACATGTAGTTGTGCAGTTTTAGAAGTCTTGCTTTGTAAGCTTAGGGTTTGAAGAGCAAATCCTGCAATGTCCTTGGTAGTACCTTGGTCAACTTCTTTCTCAATTTCTTGTTTGTCAGGTTTTTGAGTTATTAGAACATTATAATGACATAAAATTGAAGAATGTTAAATATCAAAAAGAGCCACTTCAGCTTTAGTATGTCTTAAGACTTTTGGGAGGTTATGTAAAAAAATTCAAAACATTGTTTTTATATTTTATTTTCTTGTTTTTAGTGTTGTTTTTATATTTATTTTCTTGTTTTTAGTGTTGTTTTTATATTTATTTTCTTGTTTTTAGTGTTGTTTTTATATTTTAATTTCTTGTTTTTACTGTTATTTTTATTTGTTAACAGGAAATATGCGATGACCCACAAATGTTTGTTGATGGTGCAAGTAGTGCTGATGTTACCCAGGGTAGAGTTGGAAATTGTTGGTTTGTTGCAGCTGCTGCATCGTTGGCTCTTGAAAAAGACCTTTATACTAAAGTATATTAGACTAATATTTTAAATAATATTTCTATGTTAAGCATAGTTGCACAAGGTACAGAGAAAAAATTTTCAGTTAAAATAGTAGTTTATTGACAAATGACATGAATAACTGTTAATTAATTTTTTATGTGCAAAATTGATTTCTTTTTTATTTAATTTTTTTCATTAACTTCAATATAGTGATCTTAGTCTGGCTGTTTCCTATTTCGTTCTCCATTACAAAATTTTGAAAATTTAAAATTTAAAATGGTAAAGATAAACATTAAATAATTAGATGTGTGCATTCATCCTTTCGTGTATGAAAGAACGTATATGAAAGGATGTGTGCAGAAACTATTTGTATATGAAAGGATGAGTGCAGAAACTAATTGTATACAAAAGAAATGAAAAATGCTTAAATCTCAATTTTCTTTCTGCGAACATGTAAGCATCAGCTTGTTGCAGAAACTAGCTTTTTAGTGCAAAATTGCATAAATTAAACTGTATTGCTAACATTTTTGTATATTTGCTAAACCATTCTACAAATAATAATCATAAGTTAAAAATATTTACTTTCATTATTTTGTTAAGAATTTCAATAAAATGTTCCTTTTGCTGTTTTTATTTTAATTAATTCATTTACAATTTATTTGAAGCATTTTTTTTTTCCTGCCATTTAAAAAAAAAAATGAAATAGCAAAAAAATTACTTTTTAAAATCCCACAGCGCTTTTTCCTGTGTGTGTGTGTGTGTGTGTGTATATATATATATATATATACATATATATATATATATATATATATATATATATATATATATATATATATATATATATATATATATATATATATATATATATATATATATATATATATATATATTTATATATATTTATATATATATATATATATATTGGGTTGTAACATAAGTTACTAATACTATAACTGTAACATAAGTTACTAATACTGTAACAAATACTATAATGGGCACTGCTCTAAAGAGCTAGCGTCCCTTGTGCCATCTACTAAAATTCATTCTCGTGTTACTCGCCATTCAATTAAGTCTCATCCTTTTTCTGTGACTGTTCCTAAGTGCTTCAAAAACTCTTATTCTTCTAGTTTTTTTCCTCGAACATCAGTTCTTTGGAATTCACTTCCTTCATCTTGCTTTCCTGATTCATATAATTTGCAATCTTTTAAGTCATCAGTCAATCGTTATCTTGCTCTACAGATTTAGTCTTTTCTCTTCCAGTAACTTCCAACTCTTATAGTGGTTGCTTGCAGCCTTGTTGGAAGTGAAGATGTTAAAAAAAAAAAAAAAAAAAAAAGAAAAAAAGTTCGTAGAGTTTTTTAGTCGGTAGGTGCAAGATCCGGAGAGTACGGTGGATGCTGAAGAATCTCCCATTCAAGCTCTTGGAGTGCTGTTTTGACGACTTGGGCAATATGGGGCCTGGCATTGTTGTGGAGCAAGATGACTTTACATTTTTTGACCTCGATGAAATGCAAAGAAAAGCAGATGTCGAAAATGCTGATTTTTTCCTCCTGGGTATTCCATTTCTGAGGCAGAAATAAGACAAACAATTAAATTATCCGAAAAAACAAATAAAACTGTTTTGTAGACAAGAAAGAGCTCTTTCGAATGAATGTATACACTTTGCTAAAAAACAAAACAAATTGTTGTAAAATAACTCTAACTCAAAACTCTACGAACTTATGTTACAACCCAATATATATATATATACATATATATTTATATAGCAAATAATTTTTTCTGACCTGATGCCGACCTAAATCTTTTTGAGGTCGGCATCAGGTTGGTAAAAATTATATGATACAAAGGTCTGACCATAAAAGATAGAAACAAATTATTGCAGACCTCATTTTCCTAATTCCGAGGGTGGTATATATACATATATACATATATATATATATATATATATATATATATATATATATATATATATATATATATATATATATATATATATATATATATACATATATATATATATATATATATATATATATATATATATGTATGTATGTATGTATGTATGTATAATATTTTCAGTTTTTTATTTTTTAGGTGATTCCAAACCATAAAACCTTAACTTTTAAATCTGTAAAACCAGAAGACTATCTAGGAATTTTTAGATTTAGATTTTGGCGTTTTGGAGACTGGATAGAAGTTGTTATTGATGATCGTCTTCCTACTATTAATGGTGAACTAATTTACGTAAAATCTAAATCAAAAAATGAATTTTGGAGTGCACTTTTAGAGAAAGCTTATGCCAAGTAATTTTTTTTTTGTTAATATAATATTTTGTCACCTTCGACCTTTTACTCAGTGCAATAGTCATTAGTTAGGCCAACAACATTTAATATGCAGTTGGCTTGATTGCATTTTTGTGTTAGTTGGCTCAGTTCCATTAAATTTGCAGTTGCAGAGTGTTGAAACACTATTAATTTAAAAGTTAAAATACTATTACATTAAAAAGTTTTGTTGAGTGGCTAGTTTGATAACTTTCAACTCATAACTTTCAACTAATTACCTTATAGTTTAACATCCAGTATGTCAACATTAGCCCAATAAGCTGTATGATAACTTGACGCTAATTTTAACATGATGTTGGGCTAACACAATGCCTACAAATTAATACTAAATAAACATGCATGATGACAGCATTGGCTTGATGAGCAGCCAACCATTTGCTTTATTGGGCCAATAAATTTAGCTGTGGAATGATTCATAATTAGTTTTATTATTATAAATGTTATAAAATCATTAGATAAAGTTATATTTTCAGGATATATAGAATTGAGCATAAATATAGGTGAATATTTGAAATAGTTTTAAATGTTTTAAAGATATCCATTTGAAGACAAGTTTCATTTTAAAAGAAAAAATTAAAAGGAAATAATTAAAGGATTAATAGAAATAGAAATACTTCTCTCCAAAGTGAAAGAAAAAAGTTTATAGATCTGTTGTCTGCACACACTGCTAATCTTTTTAGAGTGTACTCTTGTACATAGAGTGTTTAATTTATATGACCATGACTGTTATCTAAAGCATAAGCTTTATAAACAAAAAAGTCTAATAGAAAAGGAAAAAAAACGTTTTTCTTTGTCATTGGTATTTTTTGATTTTTTTACATATTCACTTTTAACAAGGCTGCAAGCAACCACTATTAGAGTTGGAAGTTACTGGAAGAGAAAAGATGAAGTTTATAGAGCAAGATAAGGATTAACATAGGACTTGAAAGATTGCAAATTATATGAATCAGGAAAACTATATCAAATAATATATCAAATTCTTTATTTCCATATTTGTTTGGTACTGTAGGGTTTTTTACTGTTGATTATATATTATATCATACAATAAAAACTGTTATATGAAACATTTATCATACAATAAAAACTGTTGTGTAGATTAGCTGGTTCGTATGAAGCTCTTGAAGCTGGAAATCCTGCTGATGCTTTGGTTGATTTTACAGGTGGAGTAAGTGAAACAATCGACTTAGTAAAAGAAGATTATCATAATAATTTTGAAAAGAAGATGGCACTGCATGCTAAGTTGCGCAAGTTGATGGAGCGAAAGTCAATGAGTAGCGCTTCAATCAAAGTAAGATTTTTATTATCAAATATTTGTACAAAAAAATCTACTTCACGAAGCTAACATTTTTTTTCTTTGTTTTGCAATAGTATTTGCAGTTTTAGATGCATATATTTTTTAATAAAAAATTTATTACTACCTTAATAAAAAATAACAATGTTTTTTTTTTTCTTTTTTTTAAAACTTCACTCTCAATATTGTTTTAAAAGTATAAACAGTTTGATAGAAAAATTTCAAACTATAATAAGTAAAGTATTTTGGTAAAATAAAAACAAATTTTTTAATTTTTTACAAACACAGTGCTTGTAAAAAATATTTGAAGGTGCTGGGTGTTTTCATACTTTTTCATATACTAATTCAGGTTTTTCCTAAATCTAAGTTTATAAAGTTCAGTAATTTAAAGATAAGATAAGATTGAAAAAGGTAAGATTCAAGTTTGATGATTACACCTGTGTATACTACTACTTTATATTTTATATAAATTCCACTATTTATGTTTTTTGTTTTTAGGTTACAAATCGAAATGAAATGGAGCTTCAATTGGATACTGGTTTAATTAAAGGACATGCATATGGAATCAGTGCTGTCAAAAAAGTATGAAGCTTTATCAAAAAAAAATTTATTAAGCTTTTATAAAATGCCTTTTTTTTACGTTGTTATCTATCTTTTTGTTAATTTTTGTTAAATATCATTTTTTTTTATTATTCTTTAAACGCATTTAAAAATTTAGTTTGTAAATAAATAATTTTTTATTTATTTATTTACAAATTAAAAAAAAAATTCAACTTTTTATAATTTATATAATAAATTGTTATAACTTTATATTTATATGTTATTTTTATTTATGTTATATATATATATATATATATATATATATATATATATATATATATATATATATATATATATATATATATATATATATATATATATATATACCTGATTTTGAATTATATTTAGATTACACTTGGGCAAAATTTTTTCTCAAGTTTTAATACCGAAACTTTATATTTGGTCAAATTAAGAAATCCCTGGGGTGAAAAAGAATGGAATGGTGCATGGTCTGATGGGTAATTTTAAATTTAATTATATTAGGCTATTTAATGTTAAACTTTACCTAAAATAAGAACTCAAGTTGTTCTTGAATTTTAAAAAACCTAAATATTATGCAGAAGTGCAACAGTGAAATTTGCAAGCAAAGGTGTATGTAAGAGGTAGGCAAGAATATGGAACCCCACCATAACACAAGTTAAGTGCAGTACTGGTGTTAGTGTACATAACTTTTTTTACATTTAGAACTTTAAGGTTTATAATTTAGATTTGATGAGCTAAGAATGAGCTGTAACAAAAATTAAAATGAAATTAAGAAAAAAAGTCTTTTTAACTTCAAGAAAGTTTTTTCATTACCTTCATCTTGCTTAGTGACAGGATAAGGAGGGTACTAAAATTTAAAACCTATAAAAAATATCAATAAAAATTTTTTCCTATTAAATGAAGTTGATAAGTTTTTTTTTAAGTTTTCAGGGGTTTTTGTTAATTTTTTTTAACAAATACTCAAAAATTGTTTGCTTACTCTCAAAAATAAAATCATTGTAAACTGTTGTAAAATTTTTTTAGAAAATTTGTTTTTTAGAGAATTGTTGCAGAATTATTTTAAATCTGCAGAATTGTTTTAGATCTGCAGAATTGTTTTAAATCTGCAGAGTTGTTTTAAATCTGCAGAATTGTTTTAAATCTGCAGAATTGTTTTAGATCTGCAGAATTATTTTAAATCTGCAGAATTGTTTTAGATCTGCAGAATTGTTTTAAATCTGCAGAGTTGTTTTAAATCTGCAGAATTGTTTTAAATCTGCAGAATTGTTTTAGATCTGCAGAATTGTTTTAAATCTGCAGAGTTATTTTAAATCTGCAGAGTTGTTTTAAATCTGCAGAATTGTTTTAAATCTGCAGAATTGTTTTAAATCTGCAGAATTGTTTTAGATCTGCAGAATTGTTTTAGATCTGCAGAATTGTTTTAGATCTGCAGAATTGTTTTAAATCTACAGAATTGTTTTAAATCTGCAGAATTGTTTTAAATCTGCAGAATTGTTTTAAATCTGCATAATTTTTTTAGATCTGCAGAATGGAAAAAACTAAGTGTCAAAGAAAGAGAAAAATTGGGAATAAAAAATGAAAATGATGGTGAGTTCTGGTGAGTATTATTATTTTTAAACATTTTTTATTAATTTAAAACTGTTCAAACTTTTTTTTAAAAACATTTTTCAAGGATGTCATTTGATGATTTCTGCAAACATTTCACAAATATAACCATATGCATGTTGGTTAATACATCAGTTATTTCTTTTAATAAAACTTATCATGAAGGTTCTTTAAAAAGTAAATGGGAAGGTAATAGTGCTGGAGGATGTGTTAACAATAAAGAAACATTTCTTCGAAATCCTCAAGTAAGTTTTTCATATACATTTATATCTAAAGATAAGAGTTGCAAAAAGAATTATATTTTTTTATCTAAAGATACCTGTAATATAGTTTTTAGTGTTGTTAAAATGTAACACAATATATAGTTCACTAATATATAACAGCAGTGGCATATCCATAATATTTTTGGGTATATTAGTCTTCTTTTTAGTAGTCTATATTTAGAGGACCTGTTTTTTTTTTTACAAGACAAATTTGAAAATATATAATATATCTCACCTTAATATGTAGCGATTGTGTAAATTGCATTAAATTTCTTTTTTTTTTTTGAAATAAAAGTGTAAATAATTAAACAAAAAAGTTAATAATGTTACACTGACAACTTTAACGTCAACATCTATTTGCCAATAATTTTTATTTGTATGCTTCACTAACTAATATAAAGAATAAAATCAAATTTATTTCCTTATTGCTTCTCCCTTTATTGCAGGTACTTGTGATAGAAGCATAACTATAACATCTAATAAACAATATATTTTTATTAATAATTTATATATAATATTTGTATATTTATATATAGTTACACAAACAGTTTATTTATATTTATTTTGAATAAACTAAAAAGATTTATTACATAGCATATTTATTGCTTAGCAAAGTCATTAATGCATCCAAAAGTTTTTATTGTTCTTCTTTTACTTTTTAAACCAAGTTTCTGGCTTATTATGTTATTACGTTTTAAAGTTTTTTTGTTTCTTTCATTATTTTAAACTGTTTATTTACATTTTTACTGCAATTTTTAATTTGAAATGAGAAAGTTTTAAGCATATATAGTTTAATCAAATACAGTTATTAAAATGTAAGCAGAGGAAAAACTCATGTTAAGCATATTTTAAAGCAAGTTAATGTTTTAATAAAGGATTTAATGTTAATTAATATAGTTTTATTATTTATAATTGTAGTATTTAATTATGTTTTAATGTTAATAAATGAGTTATAAAAATATAAAATGCATTGCATATTTTAATCCATTTTGAACGTGCATTTTAAATTTTAATCCAATTGTAGCGTATTCCATATTTCATCCAGGTAAATTCAAATTAGGCATTCTCATTTTCTAAACAACATTAATAACGATTTTGTAATTGTCTCAACAAATTTTACTATTGCAAAATAACAAGATAATAAATAATAAAGAATTATTTTATTATAATTTTTTTATGAAAAACTTGGGTCTTATATAAAATTGTTTTTAAATTGAGTTTGGACAGAAATTTTGGGGTCCATAATTAGTTTAATATTTTAACTTATATAGTTATTTTGTATGGTACATTATTAAATTTGGCCATATACAATTATAAAGCATGATATTAATACTGTTACTAATGTTATTATTATTAGTTCCGTTTTGATATGACCACAAAAGCTACAGATGTGGCATTTATTAGTCTCATGCAACCTGATAAAAGATCAGAAAAGGTGAAAGGAAAAGGAGAAAATTTAACTATTGGAATGATGATATTTAGAGTGAGTCTAACAGTATTAACAAAAGTTAAATTTTAAAAATGAAATTGCTATTGAAGTTGTAATTAATTTATATTCTTCAATAGGTTGAAGCTAATCGCATCTACCGAATTCATCAAAATTATGATAAAGCTGGTGATAGCACCTTTATTAACTCAAGAGAAATATTTATTAGGCTTGATCTTGATCCTGGAAGATATGTTATAATTCCTTCAACATTTGAAGCTGGTATTATCGGAAATTTTTTGCTCCGTGTTTACACAGATCAAAGCAATTCTTTCAGGTTTTGTCTTTTAAATTTGAGTTTATTCAATCAATCAATCATTTATTTCTAAATTAAGATTTTACATTCAAGGATATTTACAAATAGTAAATTTACTAATATAAGCTAAACACCTGCTAATGTTAATAATATGTAATTAAAATAAATATAATGCTTATTTTCACAATACATAATAACATTAATTTTTATAAATGTAAATATTTATAAAAATAAACCAAAAAGCATTAGTAATGACAAAAAAAATATAATTAAAAAAAATAACAACACCAAAGACAACAAAAATTGATTACAGAAATTATAAACATTTACTTTTTTTTTTAATAAAAATTATGTTAAACTGGTTTTAAAGGTTGAGAATGAATTTTAGTCCAAAGGAAGTTTGTTCCAAGTTTTAATGCTTTGATATTTTATAGATTTATGTTCGTAATTATGAGAGCGGTGTTTAGAGATAGACAGGTTTTAATTACTAAGTTTGATTGCCAAGTCTTTACAGTGTAAAGACTTAGCAATTGATTGCTAAGTCTTTACAGTGGGATAAAAAGGAAATATTTGAATCAATTTTTATACCAAGATATTTAATTGAGTTAACAGTTATACCAAGATATTTAATTGAGTTCAATTTTCTTTCGACAGGTTTAGTTTTTTTTTTTAAATTCACTTTATAATTTATTTATTAATTATTCTTTTATCTATTTTCTGTAAATAAAAACTTTAATAAATTAACAAGATATTTTACTTTAGAAATAACCTGCAAAGAAAAAATAAGGTAAATTAATACATAAAAAAATAAGTTAAGATCTATATATTATTGGCAAATTTAATAGTAATAGTGTTCCTTGGAGTGTACTTGATATGAAACCCTTTGTAGCCATTGCAACCGAGGTATTGGCGAGAAAGAGTCTCACCTTTGCTTTATAAGAAAATATGAGCAAACATGAAACTTATATCGTACATACATAAACTTCATGTTATGTAATGTTAAAACATACTTAAACATATATCAAGTTTTACAGTTTGATTTTCACTTAATAACTGCATCGCGTCAACTTCTTTTTAATTTCTGATCTTCAGCATCTATATCCATTAAAAACAATTTTTATATAACTTTATAGTTTCGATGACCAACGTGCCTACATGGCCAAGTGGTTAGCGCGCTTAGCTTCTAAACAAAAAGGCTGTGGTTCGAGTCCAACCACCGACTTTTTCTTTTAATTTTTTAAAATTTTTAAAATGCTTGTGTAGTTTTATAAAGATTATATACAAACATATCTAAATATGTTATACACTTTAACAAATAAAAAGATTTTTAAAAAAGCTAAAACTTCTAAAAACAATGAGGGGATATTTGATGCGTATGTGTCACAGATGAAATACTTATGTTATCTTAGTTTTTTACATTTCAAGTTTTTTTTTACAAATAAGTTGAGTTTGTGCAAGAAAAATGAGTATACAGCTTCTTTATGTATAGAATATAAAATCTATAGAATTGTAAAGCTGTTTTGTTTTGCATTTAAAATAACAAAAATTAAAAAATAAGGCAAGCTGATGGATTGAACTTGCCACGCGGCAACCTTAACTTTTTCAAAACAGTACTGGGGTTTAAAAAGTATGTTTTTTGTAAGAACATAATTAAAAATTCTAATTTTATATTTAAATTAAACCATTATATTAAACTACTTACTTTTAAAAATAATTAAAAGTTAAAGTTATTTAGTTAAGTTATTGATACAATAAGGAAATTTAGAGTTATACATCTATTTTACTTCGCCCCCGTTTCAAAAATTGAGTGCGCAACAGCGACAGTTAGAATAATTTTATACTCTATTATTTTTTGGCTTTATAAACAATTTTAGCTAATCCTTTATCTAAACTTTAAAATAAGGGGTCGTTCATAAATTACGCAGCGCTAAATTTCACAATTGAAAACAAAAATGATCAAAATTTTTCCTCGCAGAGGCGTATGTTAAATAAAAAATCTATATAGCTCATTAAATTTAATGAAAATCACCATCCTAAAGAACTGAAGGTCTCTTCTGCTTTTTTAGAAATAAATTTAGTGCTGCGTAATTTGTGGGCAATTCCGCGTTATAAAAGTTATAAAACGCTAAACGCTATAGTTATAAAACTTTTTTCACATTGCAGGGATTCCCATAAGAGTTTGCAAACCTTTCTTTTTAAACACTCTTGACACAAGCCAACAAAGAATTTTATATTTTTATAAATGTTTCCAAACAGATACAAACACCCCTACCCCAAGAAAACAAGGTAGACATACAAAAAAGAAAATTCCTGACACAGTCAGAGATGGCATTAGGGAACACATAAATAGTATTCCGGTTATAGGCTCGCACTATTGCCACAACAACAACAATAAACAATTTCAATAATTTAAAAATTTTAAATTTTATTAAAACTGAATTTTTATGGCAACAAAATAAAATATCAACAAACAAATTCAATTTAAAATAAGAAAAACAACAACAACAATAAACAATTTCAATAATTTAAAAATTTTAAATTTTATTAAAACTGAATTTTTATGGCAACAAAAAAAAATATCAACAAACAAATTCAATTTAAAATAAGAAAGAAAAATAATACTTAATATATAAATATACATTACTATTTACAAGTCATTTTTCTATTAACATGGTTTATGATGTCTTGAAAGTTTGGCTTTTTTGATTGCATTTTTAAGATGATTGTATTTACTTTCAATAATGTTCTTTTCTATAGTAACTTGTTATAAAATAGTTATTTTCTATAGTAACTTGTTATAAAAGTTTTATAACTATAGCGTTAAGGGTTTTATAACTATAGTTTATAATGCTCTAAGATCTTCTTAGTTCCGCTATACTTTTATAAAATAATATTGCTATTATAAAATAATAATAAACTGTGATTAATTGTGATAAATTGTTATAAAATTTTTGCTTTAAATATTGCTATAATTACAGAAAGAATAAAAAATTTTCAAAGTTTATAAGGGAATGTCTTTAATTCCCCAAAACGACACTGGTGACAGCGCACTAATTTACTGAGCTATCAATGATATGCATTTAGGAAAAAAACAAACCTAATTATAAATTTATTATAAGTTCTAGGTATGCTAAAAGGGTGCGCATGTTAACTTTTTTGCTCTTAAAGTAATTTTTTAAATGAATTATTTTATGCAAAAATATTGAAGTAAACAAATAATCGCTATAGGTATGATTGGTGTGGAATAGATAAGTATAGAAATGATAGATTTGGTAAAGAGCCATATAGTTTATGGGTCCTGCTAGGATATATATATATATATATATATATATATATATATATATATATATATATATATATATATATATATATATATATATATATATATATATGTATGTATATATATATATATAAGGAAAAAGTATAGAAAAGTTTAGTGTGGAATAGACTTACAAAGACCTGTATTTTTACGGGTCAGATCAGCTAGTATAAATTAATACATAAAGAAAAAGTTAACTACTGAATAAAATAAAAAAAATACAAGTTATCATACAAATCTTTTAATTTAAAAGGTAATTTGCTAAATCAAAGATGTCATGATACTAGTAAATGAATAGATAAAGCTGTCATGATACTAGTAAATGAATGGATAAAGTAATAAATAACTTTTTCTGTACATGTCTTAAATTCTGGATATTTCTTATTACTTTTAGTTTTTCTGGATTTTCTATAAATACATATTTAAATATATTGGAAATGTATACTATTTCCAATATATATATATATATATATATATATATATATATATATATATATATATATATATATATATATATATATATATATATATATATATATATTAACTTATTTACTGATTACCCATACAAAAAATAAGAAATGTTTCACAACATTTTTTTTTTTTGCAAATTTTTTGCCAGAATTTTTAAAATATGGCCTGGATAATCACTGAAAATAATTTTCAGTGATTATCCTGTATTTCCTATTTTTCTTTTCTTACAAGGGGAACCTTTTTTTGGACATGTTTCTTTTCTTTCCTTTTATTTCTTGTTTAATAATATTTTACATTTTCTGTATTGAATATATATATTTTTATTTTGTTAAACAAATTTGATTGATTTACACTAAATTTAAGACCTACCATTTTTTGAGAAACCACTGTACCTTTTGACTAGGCCCCATTTTTAGATTGTTGACTTTTTTTCTAAAGTACAAGGAACCCAATAATTTTATACATAATGGTTCCAACGAATAAGCCAGCATGTTTTTATTTTAGTTAAAAAATACCATTGTTTTCTTCTAAAAACTTGTTTTCTATCTGGATTTCCAATTAGCACTTAGTGTTGTTAGAACATTAAATGCTGCATGAATCATAAGTTCCGTGCAAGAGTTTGTAAAATCTGTTGCATAACCAGTTTTTATAATTATTTTATACCCACCATAGCTCACATCACCTCACCTCACATCACCTACAACACCAAACTGGGTTAAATGTAGTTTAAAGTTTAATTGAAAGTTGTTTATTTTATTTTCAAAAATTTCGATTTAATTTAATGTATTTTTTTAAATCAATTTATTTTTCTTTCCTCCAGTTCATCCAAAGTGCTTTGTTTATTATTGATAAGCCTCAGCTGCTATTATGTCAATTGCATAGGTGTCATCAAATTCCAGTATAGTGGAATTTGATTAGAGTGGGGAAGGGTGGTCTTCATGTTAATAAATTGACAAAGATTGAAGGTTTGTCAATAATTAAAGCACACCAAATGTAATGGTGACAATGGAAATAACTTAAAATGTTTCCATATAAAAGTTTATTTGTACTGCAGATATAGGAGTGGCAGATATTAAAAGTGGATGTTTCAAAACATTAATGTTAAAAAGAAATTTTCAACACCAATCTGAAATGTTATTGAATAAGTTGAAATCATCATTGAAATAAAATCCATAACATGCATAACTCATAGTTACCATAGCCACCATGCAAAATTGAAAGTTGAATATGAAAGCCTTTGAAAAGTGAAAGTTTTTGTTTTGGTTTGTTTTTTTTACATATTTAAAGTATTTTATTCTTTTTTTATCGTATTGTATACATAGAAAAAATGAGAAATCTTTTTTTATAAAATATTTATTATAAATATAATATAGAAAAATAATTATTATAATACAATGTTATAAATCTTACCTAGAATAAAAGAAACTCTGTTATAAAACCTCAAATTTAATGTATATAAAGGTGGTGATTAATGTTTTAATGTTACTTTTAATAAGAGCACTTGTTAGCATTGGTTTGATAATAAATATCTCAGAAAAATGTATATTTATCAAAGCAGCAACACAGTTGTATTTATCAATACAGCAATACAGTAAATACAGCAACATCAGTGATTTTTTCAAAAAAAAAAAAAAATTTTTTATTAACTAGTATGTTTTTCTTGTTTGGTTTATATGTGTTTTGTTTCTTTTTGCAGTTTCTTCTTTATGCATTGACTTTAACAGCTCTTTTTATACAAACATGTATATAAAACTATATACTTTATTTTTTTATACAATATAACTTTAAATACAAATATGTATGTAAACCTATATAGCGTTACATACAAACATGTGCATACTTATAATTCTAAGCTAGATTTTGTGTATATTAGTTTTACCTTACTTAATAATAAAAATTATTGGGACAAACAAGAAATAAAAAATGAGCATTAGTATTTTAAGAGTAGAAGCAGAAGGAACTTAAAAATCTTGCAGTATAATCATCCTATTGGTATTAACTTAGTTCTGATATGCAAAACAGGTTAATGTTAGGAGAGTCGCTCAGTTGTAAAAAATTGCCTCAACTCTTTCAAATATAAACTATGTATAAATAAAAATGGCATTATGGAAAATCATTTGATCAAGTGTAGAACTGCAAATGTAGAACCGCAAACAACATTTTAACCACATTAAAAAAAGCAAAAAAAACATTTATTAGATATTCTACTCTATAAATTTTTTTGTTGAACAAAGTTCGTTATTAAAAATTTGTTAATAATATTTTAAAAAACATTTTTTTTTTTAAGTATATTTTTCTAAATATTATTTCACTATTTGTAGTTATTATAGTTCTAAGTAATTGGTAAGTTATAATTTGAATTAGGCAATTAACTGAAGATGCACCTGTTCCTGGTTGTTGTCCTTTTATTCCTTGGTGTGCTCCCGCTCATTTGCAAGTGTCAGTAATAGTTACAGCAGTAAATAATTTAAAGAAAAAAGGAAGCACCAGCATGAGTGAGATATTTTGTTGAAGACAATGATTTATGATAATGATAATTTGTTAAAGTTGTATGAAAAAATACTTTTGTCGTTTTTTTCATTTTTTTAGCTGTTGATCCCTACTGCATAATTGAGTGTGAAGGATGTAGTGTTCGCACACCTGTTGTCACAGATAACTTAAATCCTACATTTAATTATGGTGGCATCTTTTATTTGCGTAAACCAGAAAGTTTGCTCAAAATACAGGTTTTCGATTTTGATAGGATTTGAATTCTAAACAAGTTTTTTTTTAATTAAATTTCAATTATTTGAATTGTTTATAAAAATGTGAAAATTGATTTACTTAACCAACATTAGATATAATCAACATTATATATAACCAACATTATATATAACTAACATTAGATATAACCAACATTAGATATAACCAACACTAAATATAACCAACACTAGATATAACTAACATTGGATATAACCAACATTAGATATAACCAAAATTAGATATAACCAACATTAGATATAACCAACACTAGATATAACCAACATTAGAGATAACTAACATAGCTTAAATAAATATGTTTTTCAAACAGCAATTAAGTTTATTTTTGAAGAACATTTTGAATGTATTTTAAACCGAATATTATTTTCAGGTATGGGATGCCAACACATTGGTGCCTGATACCTTTCTTGGTGAAATTAATAATCCAATAGAAGTCAACAACAAAACTGTTCTTGAAACCCATTCTCTCATGGAAAGAAAAGGTCGCGATGGAGCAGTTTCAAAAGCCGAAGGAACAATATCGTTTAAGATAACTGCTTCAAATAATTTAACCTTTCTGTAAATATACTTTTATCTTTTAATGATTGATAAATGAGAAATGAGTTGAATAATCAATTCATTGAGTTCATCAGTTCATTGAATTTACAGCTTCGCATTTATTTTCTGAACATGTTTTTCATCTTATATAAACACTTATTTTTGTTTTTCACTTGTAATTTTTTTAAGATTTTAAATCTTACTTTATTTATAAATTATTATAATTGTAAAATAGTATTTTTTAACGATTTTTTTCTGATCGTGTTTTTTTTTTTTTTTTTTTTTTTGTTATTGAAGTTCTTTAGGGAGAATATTGTTTGGGGCGAATTATTGCTCTGCAAATTTCAAATAATATTTTTTAATTTAAAACTGAAAATCATTTTTCAGAAACTGATTTCGACGCGGATACGGATTGTGTTTTCTAATCACGTTTTTCACGCATTAAAATTTTTTCTTAATTTGCAAAGCACAGAATTATTTATTGAAGAAGTTAATTGAAAAGATTTAGGGAAATTCTTTTTTCTTTTAATTTTAAGAGTTTTATTTCTTTTAAATTATTTTTTCGTATTTACTATTTTTTTTTTCATTCTCTTTTACTCTAGATATTAAAAGTTTACAAATAACAGCAATAGAATAAAAAGTTTTGTTTTTAATGTCGTATTGGTATTTTTCAATATAGTTTGTATATAAATGTATGTATATGTATATATATGTTAAATTCTTTCAACATAAAACAAGGCAGATAGAACCCTATAATTCTCATGCGACAATATATATATATATATATATATATATATATATATATATATATATATATATATATATATATATATATATATATATATATACATGAAATTGGAACTTTTGGAAATAAATATTGTATATATATAAGCAAACTTATTAAATAAAAGTGCACAAGCCTCAAAGTGGTAGACAACGGTTAAAACAGAATCCTACTAAAATGACGTTTTAGATATTATTTTTATCTAATTTGAATAATATTTACTGTAAAATGACAAAATAAAAAGTTTTAAAGTTTAAGAAATTTGGTCCCAGAAACGTCTTAAATATCATAATTTCGTTGCGGTGATCTCATAAACTATTAGTGCTATTAACTTGAGATTTTCTAAATTTGTTTATAATATAATAAGCAAAATCCTGTACTAAAATCATGAAAATGTATTGAACAGATTTTTTTTTATATAAGAAAAACACTTCATGATCTTTAAGATAATTACCATATTTGGACTTAAAAATCTTTATATCGAATTATGTCATAAATGTTGCTACATCCATTATAATAAAAGGAACAACTCCTACAGTCCGCGCCAAACGAATAGCACATGCAATAATTTAGTAATAAAAATAGGTGTATGAAAGTTAAATTTAACACAATTATTAATACATATTTAATACAATTTGAGACAAGAAATAACAGACAAAAACAGTATTTTCTTTGTTTTTGTTTAAAACATGTAACAAAAGAATAAAAATAAAAATACATTATGTGCGAAACCAAAAGCACACACACCATAACACAAGTCACACAATTTCAGCAGGTTTTAGAGATAACTAAGACGTAAAAATGTATCTAATAGTCAATATTCTTACCTTTCTTCATAATAACCTGAATGCAACACTTAGGCATGGAGAAAATCAGCGTTTGAAGCAAAGATTGGGGGATTTTGTTTCATTCCATCTGGATGGCCATTTTCAGTTCCATAAGGTTACTGTATTGTTTTTCATTTGCATACACGTGACGAGACAAATAATCTCAAATGTTTTCAATTGGATTCAAGTCGGGTGACAGCGCTGGATGATCAAACAACTGGATGTCATATTCCGTTACAAATTCCACCACGATCTTTGCTGTATATATCGATGCGTTATCTTGAAAAAAGACAAACGTATGTTTTGTGTTTATGCAAGATAACGCAGGCCCATATAAGATTGAGTAATCAGAGAGTGTAACAATTTAGTCTTCAGCTGTTTGTTACCCTACTAAATTATTCAATTTAGATAATCCAGTCTTGGAAAATGCACCATGATGCCACCATCACCATTTTATCTGGACAAGAATGTCTAGGGCTCTTTTCGCAAGTTATGCCAATAATATTGATATTTATCTGGACCATCAAGATCGAATTTCTTCTCATAAAACAAAATAATTAAGCCTCAATCAGGTGGGCAAGACAAAATATTTGTTTGCATATGCCATACTTTTCTCCGTGATATGTTTTTGCATCGCCGACGTTGACATACACTTCTAATATCTCAGATGTTTAGCTTTATGTAACGTTCTTTGTATGGTCATGACAAATCTGTATCCAGCTGGACGTGTATCAATCAGACACAACAGCGAGTGTTTGAAACCACTTGTAGTATGTTACGTTTGTCACGCTTGCTTAATTTTGAAGCATTTTGGTTGAACTTTGTTTTCAAATATATATCAGAGTTCTTCAAAATTTTCTTGATCACCTTCCAACTTCGCTTATATGTTTCGATATCTCAGATGTTGATACATTGGCAGCCTTGAATGCCTTGATCAAAGTGACTTCTTCAGCATTTAACTTAGTTTCACGTCATTTAGTAGTCCTCTGTAACGCATATGAATAGTTCACATATAATGGTCATTTGGTCTACTTAATATATGTGTCACTTATCTAGCGTTAGCAATTTGTCTGTTGCAGTCAAATACTAAATGACTGACGTGTGCTATCGGTTTGTCACCAGAAAATATCATATGATCTAACATAATTTGAAGAGGGAAAATATTTGGCGCCAAAAACGATATGTTTTTTATTACTTCTCTGATTATGCACTTTTATTAGTACACTCTATTACTTTCTCTGATTATGCACTTTTGATTTTTAATTTAGTTTCAATTGCAAACTCCTGTCAGTTCTATGTCGATAGTTGTTACTAGTAAATATAAATTAAAGTTATTATTCACCATAAAAGATATCCTCATTACTGTATGCTCATAATTTGTTTTCAGAATATAAACTTATTTTCATCAGCTTGTTTTACAAGTTAAAAAAAAATGTTTATGGGATCAGATATGTCATAAAACCACAAAATATTACTATACCATGGTATTCTTTACCCATTTTTTAAAAATCAACTACTGCACATAAATAGTTGATTTTTAAGAAATGGGTAAAGAATAAAGTTCATCGCTAGTTTGCTTATAGTTTTGATAGAAAAAAACTTTTGCTAAACAGCGGCAAGATGCAAAACAAAGTTGAAGACAATGTTATATTATATTAGTTTAAGAATCATAAAAAGTTTAAAAGTTACATTTTAGACAGCAAACAATTATAACCATTAGGCCGGGTGAATAAAAATGAGCGATTGTTTTTACTCGGTAAATCAGTTTTGCTCTAGTTTTTCTTTACGTAAAGTTAAGCAATTTACTTAGTATTTGTTCAGCTTTGCGTGAATAAAAACTTAAAGAAAATAAGTAAAGTTCTTATTCACGTAAAGCTGACCAACTACTGAGTAAAAGCAACTTGTTTTTATTTACCCGGCCTATTATTACACCTCATACGTCATTGTTCATAAATATCTAGCAGTGATTTGGAGTTGCAATCACCACATTTGGTATTTAATATAAAAATATATATACCATAATTATGGTATAATTTCTTATTTAGTTATATAGCAACGGAATAATCAAAGCATTACTATCAAAAAATAAAAAAAATTTCTTATGTCGCTTCGTTAATAAGTAATTTTTAATGAAATTAGATAATTTTTTTCACAAAACTTACTCGAAGTTCGTAATTTATGATACTTGTATTTAAAAAAGGTATAATTGAGAAATTGATTTTTTTGTGTGTGTTCGATTTTTGTGTTTTATGGTGGTACTGCCATAATTTTTTATTCAAAATGTGATTTTTTTCTTAAAATGTTAAACACTTTTCAATAAAAGTTAATAAACCCAATATAAAAAACTCCATTTTTTAAATTAATCTGTCACAAAAAGATCCTGAATCAGCAAAATACATGCAGTTAGAAGAATATAAATAACTTAAGAAAAGTTTTAGATAAAAGCTCTAAATTTTATAAACATATTAAATGATTGGTGTAGTTTCTAGTAAAATTTTTCAAAAATACTAAGCCAAAGTAAATTGGCAGATATTATTCTGCAATAATCATAAAAATATATTTTTTTTTTATTTTACTACCAACGCTTTCTACAGTATCAATGAACAAATGGTAAAATTTTTAAATAAAATGAGTAAATAGTTTCTGAGATATTAATATTGTAGTCTTTCTGAGCAAGCTTTAAAAATAAAAAATGTCATAAAAATCATTCATTAAAAAACATTAAAAAAGAAAAATATGATTGGCCACCTTTAATCTCTTGTTCAATCTCAAAATAAACTTTCTACAATATCAATAAAAAAATTGTGTAAATAGGATAAAAAAAAAAATAGACATGCTTGTTAAGGCCGTTGTTAGGTTAGTTGTTAAGGTCGTTGTTAGAGGTTTGAAAATAACCTTGTTGATTAAAAAAGACTTTCTGTTATTTTTTGAAAAAAGGTTAAGTGGTTCTTGTGATTTAAAATAACCAAACTGTTAGAATTTGAAGAAAATGTTTTTATGCTAATTTTAACAGGGTAGTACCACCTAAACTAAATTTAGATTTTTTGAATTATGTTTATAAAATCTAAATTTAGTTAAGTCAAGGTCGATGGTTTTTAAAAAAAGTATAGTTTACTTATCAATATGTATATAGTCCACCAAATAACAAAACTCCTAATAAATGGCATTATTAAGACTTTTACACGCCTTTTTTTTGCGTTTTTTTGCGTATTTTGCGATAAACTCTATAAATAAAATCGTTAAGTCAAAAACAGGCAGTTTTTGATTATTAAAACGATGTATCGATTTTTTTTGATTTTTGGTTTTACTCTGTATGCAATTTCGATCGATAACGATTTGTGTTTACTTTATTAAAAAAAAGACTTTTTTACCATTATGTCATTTTTGATTTTAAATTTTTTTCAAATATTGTCATAATGATTTTTAATTTAAAATGGTTTGAAGTCAAAAAAAAAAAAATTAATATCAAAAAGAGGTATCCTAATAACAATGTTGTTATCTTAATGTTATCTTGTTGACTTAATAGTATAATAAGAATATAGTATAGTAATAATAACTTAAGAACACATGAAAGTGATATTTCAGCCTCCAAACCTATAGACATTGCCAAGAAATTTAACAGCTTCTTTACAAAAATTGGCAAAAAATCGGAGACGATTCTATGGCTTCTAACTATAGACCCATTTCTACTTTACCCTGTTTTTCAAAAATATTAGAGGGCATAATGCACAATAGACTCTATAACTTTCTAGTTAATCATCACCTCTTAAATAATAATCAATATTTAAAAAACGACACTCAACAGCACAGGCTGTAGTCAAACTTATAAATGAAATTTTAAATGGATTCGATAAAAATAAATACACTCTAGGGGTATTCCTTGATCTTTCAAAAGCATTTGACACTGTTAATCATGATGCTCTTCTGTATAAATTAGATAATTATGGAATTAAAAAAAACAATTTAAAATGGTTTCGCTCCGATCTTCATAATCGAAAACAAGCATTAACGTATAACAATACTGTTACACAACCTAAAACTGTTACTTGTGGGGTCCCGCAAGGATCAATTCTAGGGACATTGTTATTCCTTGTTTATATTAATGATATCTTCTCATCTTCCAATAAACTCAACTTTGTTCTCTTTGCTGACGATACGCAAGTATCTTTTATCCAAAACATTAACCTTATGTTTAATACGGTTAATCAAGAGCTAGAAAATCTAAACGAATGGTTTAAGGCCAACAAACTCTCGCTAAACGTAGAGAAAAGTAAATATATTATTTTTACAAAATCTTCTGGTTCAGACATCCTCCCCTTAAAACTTCCTAAACTGCTTATCAACAAAACTAAACTTAAAAGAGAATACTCAATCCACTTTTTAGGTGTAATTTTTAATGAAAGAGTTAGCTGGAGTAATCATATCAAAAAAGTGGAGAAGAAAATATCTAAAATTATTGGAATTATGTATAAATTAAAGCATCTTCTTTATACAACTTTAAAAAATATTTATTTCTCTTTTATTTATAGCTGCATCTATGCATCTATGAATAAAAGAGAAATCATCAAACCTCTACTAAGAGAACTTGGAGTGCTTAATGTCTTCTAAGTAAATATTCTTAACATACTACTTTTTATATTTAAGTTAAAGAATCTTCAACTACCAAACACTTCCCAATATCAATTTATTTCTATAAACCACAAATGTCAAACTAAGTACTCAATTAACAACTTTGTTATTCTAAAAACTTTATTAAAACGTTCTGACTTCTCAATATCTTGCCGAGAGCCGCGATTGTGAAACTCGATTCTAACAAGTAATATAAAGACTATAACTTCTACTCTACATTTTAAACGTGCAACAAAACAACACATATTCAGTTTTGATTATAATCAATTACTAACTTAACTTTATGTCGTATATAATAACAAAGTTATGTTATTATATTGACGCAAAAAAAAAAAATAATAATAAAAATAATAAAAATAATAAAAATAAAAAAAAATAAAAAAAAAAAAAATAAATAAAAGTAAATTAACAAATTTAGATATAATCTTGTATAATATACAAGATTGTATCTAAATTTGTAAAAAAGGGGCTGGATGATAAGACCATGTCTTCTGCCAGCTCCAGTCGGAATTTTTCAAAACTTTTATATTGTTATTTTGTAAAACATTGTAAAGCTTATTTCAAAGGACGAAATAAAAAAAATAAAAAAAGATTTATAGTTGATTTTGACAGTAAAATAATATTTTACTATCTGATTTTCTACAAAAAAGCGTTTTATTTTTAAGCAATTATTTATAAGCATAATATTTAAAAACTATTTGCTAATAGAATTTGATTTATTGTAATACAAGTTTTCTAATAATTCTGCTTCGTATTTGTCATAATCATCATTATAAAATTCGTCGTACACCATCATTTGTAAACATCAATGTACACGATCAGTGTTAACATCGTCGTCAGCAACGGAATCAGTGTTCTCACACTTTGTTCAGTCACACTAATCTTTAGTGTGACTTTAGATTTCAGAAAATATTACTAAGTAAGAATAAGAAAATATTAAGTGTTTGTGTGTGTTCCATCTACAAATTTTGGTGTGCCTTTTTTTAAACTTAGAAAACCTAGGACTTCATTTTTATAGGCAAAGAGTCATTCATTTATCATACAGGAAATCTTTTTTGAAAAACATATTTAAAAATCATAAATTTGTTGTTTATTTTTGATTATTGCTAATGTTATTTGAAAAAAGCAGCTTAAAACGCTGACCACATCAGATAAATTAAAACAGTCACTTATTAGGTTACCTTTTTGAAATCTGCATATTTTTGTATTGTTTAGGTGTCAACAATTTTAACCTGGTAAAATTAACTTGGTGCCATAAGACTTTTTGATAAAATTTTCATTTAGCCTTTTATCTTCTACTTGCTCTGTCATTTTATTTTTATTAATGAAACTTGTAAAAAAACGTTATAAAGTTTTTATCAAATGAAAAAAACAGTCTTCAATGCAAACTTTAATTGAAAGAATATGATGGAGACCAAGCTCACAATTTTGACTTTCAAAGTAAGCAATTTCTTACCGGCTCAGTAACCACTTGCGGGCTTAGTTTGAAAAGTCAATGAACTTTGTAACCGAATTTTAACGACAATTCAGTGTTTGTTTTAATTCGATTGGTTAAGTTAAATGAACCTCAACGGTACTTTTTAGGGTGTTGATTAGCTAATTCACTTATCAATGCTCCATAATAAAACCTTGACATTTCTTTGATAAAAAAAAAAATTGGAACTACAAAACCTTAAATGAATTAAAAAAAAAAAAAATTGGTTAAGTATATAGTGTAGCGGAGAACTGAAAAGTGAAGCGAAGAATTGAAAAGTGGAGAGAAGAACTGAAAAGTGGAGTGGAGTAAAGCGGAGAATTGAAAGGTAGAGTGGAGAACTAAAAAGTGGAGTGAAGAAACGATAAGTGTAATAGAGAAATGACAAGTTGAGTGGAGAAATAAAAAGTAAACTTCCCTTAATATTTATTCGTATTACTAATTTAATAAATAACATTAAGGTATTCGTATTATAAATTTAATAAATAAATTTAAAAAAAAAACTAATTTCCAACTATTGTCTAGAACATTTGCTAACCTCTGTACCTGTACATCATGATATTGATATTCATCGATACATCATCATATTTATGAACATCATGATATTAATATTCATTGAAATAAAAAAAAGCTTGACACACAAAAATAACATTAAGGGGCCATCCATAAAGGACGTCACCATTTTTTAGCCAATTTTTGACCCCCTCCCCCCCTCCTTTGTCACCGGTTGTCCTTTTTCCCTATACCCCCCTTGAGAAGGACGTCATAAAATCCTGAACCCCCCCCCCCCTATTTTTAACTCCAAAAAAATTTATTTCATCTCGCAATGATGTTTGAATCTGCTGCTACACCTTTGAAAAATAAAATTAAAAATATTCTCATACATTATCTTCTTAAAAACACATGTTTACGTAGTTTTCCATGTTAATTAAACTAAAATAAAAAAATCTTTAAAGTGACGTCCTTTTCTGACAAACTCCTCCCCTCCCCTTGTCCTTTTTTGTCCTTTTTAACTCGAACACCTCCCCCCCTATTTGGATGACGTCCTTTATGGATGGCCCCTAACAACAAAGGCTTAAAAAATCTTTTTTTTTTTAAAAAAAAAACAAAAAAAAAAACAAAATAAAAACATTATTTTTTCTTACAAGACGAAAACCTTTACAGAGTAACTCTTAAAAAGACGAAAAAAAACTTAATTTATTTTGAAAAAATATATTTACAATAAATTAGCAAATAATTATTTACATTACTTCTTTACAAGTTTCAAGTAAAAATAAAATTAAAAATATAAAATTTTTATAAAAATAACAAATTATTGCATAAATAGTAATCTTTAGAATAAACGTCAAGAATAATTTTTCTGCACATTTTAAGCTTAAATATTAAAACAAAAATTAAAACGTAAAAAAATATCTTAGTAAACAGTAAATGATTTTCGTTCTAAACAGCGAAACTATTTTTACAATAACTAGCGAAATGTTGTTACATTTACTGAGCTAATATTACGATTTTTAAAGAGTAAAACAATTCCAAGTAATTAAAACAAAATCCATGCATTTACATGAAAGTCAATTTATTTGAGGCAGTTATTTTAAATGAAATAGTACCGTTAGCTCTTGATACCCTTCCACCATGACTCCTTTCCATAAGCGTATGCATTTCAAGGACGGTCTTATCTTTGACAACTATTGTTGAAATAATTTCACCGAGAAACATATCAGGTATCAATGTATTTGAGCCCCAAACCTGAAAAACAAATTATACTTTGAAACTTTTGTAACAGTTGTGAAAGATTACGTTGGACAATTGAATTATAATAATTAAAATCTATATTTAAATTAAAGAGTTAACAAAATTACACAAAATTGAAAACAGAGATTGGTACAATCAAAACGTTTAACATAACAACTACTCAGGGATTAAATTAGAAACAATTCTTTTGAAGCACTTATTTTTCAATTCAAGTTCCAAAAGTATTTAACTTTTTCTGAAGTATTTTTCACTATTAGTTTAAACACTTAATTTTAAACAAAAAATTCTTGTGAAAAAATTCTAGGATTCTTGTGAAAAAATTCTAGGATTCTTGTAAATAAATTCTAGGATTCTTGTAAATAAATTATAGCAATACAATAATCATAGTAAATCAACTTATGCGATAAATTTAAATACTTTTGTTGAGGCCATAAAAAGAGTCCTTTGTTCTTTGAATAATCGGCTTGACACTAGTACCAATGACCTTACTAAAAACGATGCTCAAAAAAATTTCCAAAATTTTCTGATTTGTTTTTTAGAAAAAAAAATCCACAACATTTGCTCTATGATTTACGTCATATCTTGGATTCTAACTTATGCTCAATAGGGCAATTCTATTTTTTCCATCAAATATTGATAGAGATGATGAAAATTCTGTGGATCAATGATTTAAATATTTTTTAATTAAAAATGCTGATTTGGGATATTTTTAGTGTTATTTTCTATCAAAAAAGAAATATTAAAAGTTGATTATGTTTATTACACACTGTGCGGAACGGTAAAATAGTAAACTTTTTCATACAGTCCTTCTGGGTAACATTAAATTTGCAGATAACATTGAATCAAAGTTGTAAATGCTTTAAACTTCTTTTTCTTTGGTAATTGGCCTGTTCTTCAACGAACAAGAATACAATTACTTTTGTTACAGAAGCTTTACCATAGGTAAATAAATTTTTTGATTTTATTTTTTTATTTTATTATTTGTCGAATTTTAACATAAACTCAAAATAATAAGAACTAACATGTTTTTTGCTTCAAAAAGGATATATATTTCCACTCAACTAAAATATAACCGAAATCAGGGTAACTTTGAATATTCAATTTTACCCAAAAATGCCTTTCTTGCTGTCTGGGTAACATTTCAATAATATATAATAAATAATAAACATCTTTTTACTGTAGTAAATTAAAATAACTATTTTAAACATGCATGATATTTTGATTTTTAATATTCATTGCTGTATTTTTATAAAATTATTTATAATTTTAATTTAAATTAATTTATATTTTATTAAAATATATTTTATTAACATTATTTATAAAATTATTTATAATTTTGGCGAATACGCCATAAACTAATTTTTATTAATAATAGCAACTATCTTTATATTGTTCAAAAATGTCAAGAAAATAATTGAGAACTCATCCTGGCACAAGAAAATATTGCACTTAATCTATTGCACTTAAAGAAAGCTATTGCACAAGAAAATATTGCACTTAATCTATTGCACTTAAAGAAAGCTATTGCACAAGAAAATATTGCACTTAAATTCTACTTTTCAAGAGACAAATAGAGAAAATTAAAATGGAAAAAATGATGATTAATTTTTTTGAAGTACCCAAACAACATTATTCTATTAATTAAAAAATAAACACAGTAAATCAGTGTGGCACCATATTGTCTTTTATTTGTCGTATTGATAAGGAAGCTTTAAAAATTCAAAAATTACTTTATCTAAGTATAAAAGGAATGTTGAATGACTTAAAATCTTAAAATCTTTTATTAAATTTCTTAAAATCTTTCTGGATGATAGCGGGAAAAAACAAGACAATAGTTTAAAGTTTGCCGACCAGGTTGAAAATGGTGTTAGCTTTATCTTGACAGATATCTGTTACCCGCTATTAAAAGAAAAAATGCCTTATAGTATTAATAGGAAATGTGTGCAGGATTGTCATACAAAATTATTTTTCAGTTATTCAAAACCTAGAGAAAATAAATAGAGTAATTCCAGATAACATCTATAACGTGGATATAATGTGAAATATTAATGTTTAACTTCATATTGGATAATTTTTTAAGAAATATGTTGATGTTTATCAAGTTACAGGGGACATTTAGCAATTTATTGAAGTTTTACATATGTCTAAAAATCATGCAGTTCTTTCATTGGAACAAGAAAAAAATTACAACACACATGCATTTGAAGATCATGGTTATGTTATAAGAGTTTGTGACTCAACCTAATGACTTGTGACAATGAACAAATCCAAGTTTATTGTGATTTTTAAAGTTAAATGAGACAATGGTAATACTGAAAAAATTTGTGTCTCAAAACAGAGGACTAATGACATCTATTAAGACTAAAAACCAAAAGCTTGTTGAAAATTTATTTTGTCTTATCAGGTATGATGGAACTTATACCCTGGTCAAGTCAAAAAAATTTAAATTGCTGAAAAATTGTTTACAAACATTCCAAATGAGTGTGTGTATTCAATAAATGATGACATGTTGGTTGCAGAGTTGCATTAATTTTATTCACGTTCAGATATTATAACTTTGATTTTTTGTAAACCTTAAACACTGAAATAATTTTTAAACACAGTAATATTTATCTATAGTAAATGATGTTTATAAGTAGGAAATTATATGCCATTAAAACAAGTTTATTTAGTGATTTGCATTAATCTATTGAATAACTTGTATATTTATTGTCAAAATATTTTTACTAGATATATTCAAAAATTATTTTAAAGCAATGCAAAAAAATCTAATAAACTTTTTAGAATAAAAAGAATAAAATTGACATTCAGTTTAATAGTATTCAAAGTTACCCTAAATGCAAATGTAACTTTGAATCTTTACTTGTACTTTGTTTTCTTAAAGAATAACTAGGACTTAAAAAAATCTAGAAAAAGGAGATTATCAGAACACCCTTTATGCAAAAATAATTATTTGGTTTGTAAAATATTTTACGTAGAGTTAAAACTAGTGCAAAGCATATAAAGTTACCCAGAAAGTTACCCAGAAAGATACCCAGAAAGTTTTGCAGAAAGTTACAGGACTGTATCTGAAACATCGTAAACATACCATCATAATGGCAGCCACTTAAAAAAATCAATTTTAAATTGCATAACCTAAAAAAACACAAGCTTGAGTAATAAACTGTGTTCAATAGAGAAAAATAAAGAAAATAAAAAAATTTGTCCCAAAGATTAAACCCAAATCAATTATGGAGATTGTAAATGTTGGAATAACCTAGCACAAGTATGTCAAATTGAGGTAAAACTTTTTACTACAATTAGTTTTTCATCTGTTAATCTGATGAGCACAAAAGAATCTGAAGAGGTTTTGCAACTTACATATCTTCCAAACAACCCTTTTGTCAGTTTTTAAATGTTATAGCCTGAATCAGTTTTACATTTTTTTAAACTATTTTTTATAAAAATGTGTTAGGTTTCACATATAAAATCTTCCACACCCATACCAATTTTTGTTTTCAAAATATTTTGCTAGGTGGAATTACCTTAATGCTCAAGACTTCTTAACTCTATTTTAGGTTGTAATCAATTTTATTGGGATCAAACTATGCTATGATCCCAATAAAACTGATTTATCTTCAACATCATAAACTAAGATAGAAATAAAGCAGGATAGCAGAGGTAAGCAGAGGTATGTAGTGCGAGATTTATTTTTTTTGTTCATGAGCTGACGGTTTTTAAATGCTAAAAATTGGGTCTTATATATAATTCTATATAATATAATATCTTATAAGAACTAAATTATCTTAAAAATGATCATTGTAGTTGTACAAAGTGATAAAGAAAGCAAAAAATAAAAAATAAAAAGTCATTACTATAAAGCAAAAATAATAAAAACAATAAAAAGATTTTCTGATGAAATTACATTTAATCTTATTAAGTTTTTTATTTTTTTAATTGCAAAGAACTTTTTCTTTAAATACTTAAATCATACAACGTATTTTATATGAATCATACAAGGACAAATAAAATATTAAAAAGATTCTTATCACTATTCATTTCACTATTCTTTAATTCATTGATTAAAATTAATTTTTTTTTTTACAATAAAATATTTAACATGTATTTAAAATAGCCATATTCTGCTGGTTGAAAATGACATCTATCATCACTCTTTCTTTAAACTCCAGAGAAAAAGATTTAGAAATTTTGAGCACTTGGTCATGAATTTTTATTGATAAGCACTGATTAATCACCGTTCACTGATTTGATAACAAGTCTTATAAATAAAAATAACAAGCCTTATATAATAATATGATTAATCATACTTATAATAATATATAATACCTTATATATTATTATTATTATTATTTATTTTTCTGAAAAAATAACCTTGCTAACAACAAAAAAAGAAAAAAAAAATCTAATCAAAATACAAAAACAAGTTTGTACAAATTTTAAGAAGGGAACATAAACAAAGGTAAATCATTTACAGCAAACCACCACTCAGCATATCCAATTCTGAAATTATTTTGGACTAAATATTTTTTGAAATAAACAAAATCAAAAGATTAGGCTAAAAAAATTTGTTTTTTTCTTTATGAAGCTTTAATTATAACCAGCTATAAAATATTACTTTTGATAAATATAAGGAAAACCTGGATTTTCAGCATTGGTTTCACTTGTTTACTCAAATAAAAAAGTCCACCATAATCAAAGGTAGGATTGAGACTATCATACACAATAGGTGTGTACAGAGTTAAACCATTGCATTCAATAATGCAATATGGATTCAAACCTGCAAATAAAATAAAAATTATGAAAAATAGTTTAAAATTTTAATACAAAACGAATAATTGATTAATCAATCAATTATCAAATTTGTTATTAAAAAGTAAATTATAATATTTATAAATAAAAATTTCAATGTATTAAGAACACCTAACTTCTTTCATTTTTATTTTTTTCTAAAATTTGAAATTAGTACAAGTATTAATTATTAAAAGACATAATCCCAATATAGACATAAAACATACATATAAAATAGGCTTTGCAACCCCAGTTCCCAGGAATCAAAAATTTAAAACTTTTTGATTCATACATAGATTCAGGTTTTAAAACTTTAAAATCTTAGGAATATTTTAAAAACACTTCCAGGATTTCCAACCTCCAAATCCAACCTGGATTTGGAGAATTTTAAGAATAATACAATAAACACTTTCAAATTGTGTCAACTAAAACAAAAGTATTAACAATGCAGTATGAAATTTAATTTTCACAAAGTAATTCATATGATGCAAAGTTTTGATGATTAATTTATATCTTTAATCAATCTTTATATATTGTGATAATTACTGGTGCATTTATTAGGAAATAGTCAGAGATTAAATTTAATAAAAAATAACACAACAGAAAGAACATTTGGAATTTGGGTTTAGTAAAGATTGTAGTAACAATGTCAGCTGAAACATGTGAAACTCTCCAAGTTTGGTTTGTTCTCCTAAACTCTTCCAAGTTTGGTTTAAATCTTGAAATGAATATTCATGGTGCAAGTCTCATAAATATTCATGGCGCAAGCCTCATAAATACTCACAGTGCCAGTCTCATGAATATTCACAAAGCCAGCCTCATAAATATTCACAATGCTAGTCTCATAAAGATTCACGGCGCCAGCCTCATTCAGAAATGTCTTATAGTTATTGTTTTTAAAAAACCTTGAACACTAATTCAGCATGTGTCAAAAGTTGTTAATGAACTTGCTAGGTGATCTCATAAGATTAGTCTAGTCTAAAGCTCTTTAATAAAATTCAATGTAAATCTGTTGCAAATCTGGGTCTCAGTTCATGAGCTGAGATGCCCATGAACTGAAACCCAGATAAAAAAGCCTTGTGCCATGCACAAGACTTTTTTAACTAAATTAGTGAATTGAAACTCATTTTAAATGTACCAAGTACAGAGCCTTGCTTTCTTACAATGAAATGTTTTAAACATATTGCTTGGCATTTCTATAGCAGAAGAACAAATGGTTGGACAGGGTTGTGTCCTTTAAGTAAGAAAAGATTTTGAAAAAGGAGAAACATCTATCTGAGATAAGACTCATACTTCAGATTTAAACATGGATGCTCAAAATCGCAATGAGTTATGTTCCTAGATCCATAATGTATTTGAATCAATTAAAGAAGTAGGTTTACCATTGAGATTATTGTTGCTTTTTAGGAGAAACCCATAGTTGCTTATTCCAAACCATGTCACACCAAAAGTATTAACTGGGTTGATAAGCAAATAAAAGCATGTGCTTTTGACTATGAACACAATTAAGAAGATAAGTTAATCAAAACTGATTGCCATCAGCAAAAACTCATAGAGGAAACTTCTTAAAAACATGTCTTTATTGAATGACTTAAATAGGGATAGGGGCAAAATAGCCAAATTAATTAATAACAACCTATGTTTAAATAATTATTTTGCACATACAAATAAGAAAAAATTAGTTGTATGCACATAAAAATAATGAAGCCATATTTTTATTGATGCAAATTTTTGCTTTAATCAGTTGAATATGAGTAGACTTTGTTGATTTTTTGATTTTTTTTGCAGCTCTATGTTGATTTTTGCAGCTTCATGTTGAGTTTAGCAGCTCAAGTTGATTGTTTTTTACAGCTCTATGATATTTTTTTAATAACAATTCAATCCAAACAAAGCTGCAAGCACTATCAGATTGAGAGTTACTCGAAAAACAACTCAATTAGTTTCTTTGCACAGTAGTCTTGTTCATCAAGGTTCGTGTTTTGGAAATATAGACTTGAGAGAGGGTTGTAACCACAACTAAATAAGCCTTTTCAACTGTAGTAGATGGCCTTCGAGGATGACTTTTGTCCAGTAATTGGAAATAAATAAATAAATAATCTCAAAAACTTTCCCAGACACACCATATGAAAAATTTGTTGAGCTGTTTAACTGGTATGAAAGAAAGGCTATTGACATTAAACTCATGAATCGAATTATAGGAAAGTTTCTTTGCAAATAGTTCAGACTAATAAAATTAGACTGATGAGCTAAAGATAGAATACTTGGCTTTGTTAAAGACACTGCTTAAAATTTTCTGAAATTCATACACCCAAGGCACGGGAATATTAAGTCAGAGTTTATTTCTCCTTGTCTTTGCCTAGAGGAATGAATCCAACAAGGCAGCAGGACATGGGGCAGGCAGTAATGGATTACATTTTAGCAGTAGCAGAGAGATTGTGGTGATCCTGACTTAAGGTAGTTAAAAAAAATTACTTCTGTAAACTTTAAAAAATTAAACCAGAGATTTTAAATTATAAAAAAATAATTAAATTATCAAAAAATTATAAAATTTTTCAAAACTAAAATAATAATCAAAAATAAATTAATTTGAAATGTCAAAAATTAGTTGATAATAAATTAATTTTTACTTGTGGCTCCAATATTTTTCAAGTTATTAACAGATTTAATAATTATTGAGACTTGAATATGAGGAGGCGCACACCATGGAAGAAAAGGGCAACATCCAGGTTTTGGTGCATCTTCAGTT